GCCCCCTTCTCAGGCAGTGTGTCCATGTATGTGTGGATACATGGATGAGAGTATCTGGAAAGAGCAAATGTTTTCCTGAAGGAGGATGAGAATTGGGATGGAAAGGGAAGTATAAGAAGGGAAGATTCTCTGATTCTGTGGTAGAATGATTGAAAAAAATTGTAAATTTCCACTCACTGCTATCTTCATATCCTTTACAAGTGCACTTGTGGTTCCTTCCATCAAGAGGAGTCTCTTTCCCACGACTTTTGACTTGTGTTGGCCAACAGAATATGGTCAATGTGATGTGTTCTGAGATGAGGCTTGTGTATTTCCCATCATTCTTGGTCCACAATCTGGACAAGCCTAGGCCATCCTACTGGGGGATGAGAGGTCATGTGGAGCAGAGCAGAGTCATCTGGCCAAGGCCATTCCAGTCTAGCCAGCCCCCATTTAACAATCAACTGACCACAGACACAGGAGTGAACTAGTTAAGATCTGTCAACCCTCGGGCATGGAAGAGCACAGCCAAGATTAGCAGTGCTGCCTGGACGACATATAGCTGACCAAGGGCTTCAATGAGCCCAGTGCGAGTAAGTCCCGAAGAACTCCCAAGTCAGACTGCAGATTTGTGACCTAAATAAATGCAGTGAATTCTTGGTGATTTAGGCCAAACAAAAAAATGTTGCTTGTTATGTAGTGTTATGTAGTTATTGTGACAATAAGTTACTGTTTGGCCTTTAGTGTGGAGGATGATACATAGTAAGGACTTAGAGGTCAAGGGCTGCCTTAGTAAATCCTGGTTTATGGAAGTTTTGTTTTGTTTTTCATCATCTGATAATTTATGTTCAAGTGAAATGAGAATGGTTAGAGAAACCCACCCCCACATGTTTTGTTTGTTTATACACCTCTATTTACAGAACTCTGAATCTACTAAATGATACCTGATACTATTGTTGTTAATACAACAAATAGCTATAAGGAGCTGATCTTTCTTTTCTTCTCCATAAAGATCTGCCAGAACCCAGAGGTCCTTAACCTTTGCTTCTGTGGGCAACTCCTTTGGTGATCTGACAAGGCCTATAGCCCCCTTCCCAGAACGTTTTCTAAAAGAAAATAATAGAGAGAGAGGATTGTAGAGAAAATCAATGATATTACAAAGCAATTCTGTAAATATTATAACAAAATTATAAACTAATTACGTGTATATACATGTATTAATGTATTACATGTATTAATGTAATATATGAATTAATATTAATGTATTAATGTGATATATATTAACACATGAAATAAAATTTACCAGCAGGTCAATGACAATCTTCATTTCAGAGTGGAGGGGAGTATAAAAGATATTTTGAGAGTATGAAACAAACTGCCACGAAAATATGAAACTATTTGTCACTTCCATTGGCGCTGATGTCACTGCCTTTCTGATACATGCCAGTATGACTCTATATTCATAATTGAAGGAAGACCTAAATTTTAGTTAGATGTTAAGGGGGAAAAATGCCATTCCCCACTCCCATCTGCTCCCCACCCAAGTTCATAGCCCCTCTGATTCTGTGTATGGATCGGCTGAGGAAAACGTTTTCAACCTGCACCATCCCCTCTGCGCCTCCCCTCCCCGCCCATCACATAGCCATTGCCGCCAAGCTCATATTTCTCCCTCTAATTTTTAAATTTTGGACATGAATGAAGCCGCTTTGGATTTGTTTTTCCATTGATAAATGATCTGCCAGTTAGCAACATTCTTTTAAAATGCAAGCACAAGCCATGAAAGTAATTGGCTGCAAAAATTTTACCTTTAGGATAGTTTCACATCAGGGGGTTTGTTTAGAATTATCTTCATCTCAAAGAATGAAATTTCCAGCACCGCATCCCAGTTCTTGGGCCAACTGATTGAGGAGGAGGTTCCAGTCCAAGATTTAAGGGTCACTGGTAGAATAAATCAGGAGACAGCCCCATTAGCTCATTCTACCTCTTTCCTCAAGTCCTAACCTAACAGCAGAGATTGTCAAGACCCTTCCCAGTGTCATCCAAGAATCACCTCCACCAGAATGAAGATGTGAAGGAACCAGACTTGGTGAACCAGAGTGATATGGGTTGTGCCTATGAATCTGTATTTTAATAGGTCATCCAGTAACCAAAATAAGAGAACCTTTCAAGAAACTCTTTGCCACAAGCTTATATGACAGTTTGAGCCCTGGGTGAGCAGAACTTTTTCTGGGAGTTTGGTATCTGAACCTCTGATAATGAAGGGGGTTGTAGGCCTGATCTACAGCTGACATGGCTTCCCTGTCCCTCTTCCACAGATCATCCTGGGGTCACAAATGTGTGATCCTTTCTGAGAACACCTAGCACACACATCCGTGTCCTTACTGGTGAAGGACTGTCTTTACAAAGACCTCTGGTTCCACACACATGGATCCTGCCTCTTTTTCAACTTCATCTCAATTCTCATAATCTCAGTTCATACGTGCCAGAAGGTGTGAGGAAACCACACACACCTCCTGGGAGGGTGCTGTCCCACCCCAGGACCTTTTATGAAAGCACGCAAGGCTTTGAGGCCAGCTCCAGAGACAGAATGAATTGAATTATCTTGTCCTTGTCTGCAGTCACTTTCACTGGCCAGTTCTTGGCTCCACTAATATGTGGCCCCCACCAGATGTGGATGCTGCCTTTGGCCACACCAACACTGCCATTCCCCACTGCGCCTTCTGCCAATGAGAAAGGCAGCTCTTAACCTAGCTCCAGTCCAACCTCCCAGGCGGAAGGCCCTTCCTGTATACCCCCTTTGCTCACCCCCCTTTGCTCACCCCCTCTTGGCTCACCCCCACTTTGCTCCCATATTCTTTTACCTCATACCCCTTTCCCTCACCTGATTTCTTTCTTGCACAGGGAGGAGACAGTGCCGACCCCACTGACCTGGCAGGTGGATGTTAAGGCCTCCCAGGAGCAGTCTCCTTCTCTTTGTGCCTCAGTCAGAGGCCTTTGGGGGGCAGAGATCTGAGGAGGCCCTCCTGAAATCACCTTCTCTTTGACAATTCTGTGGAGCCCCGGGCCCAAAGCCAAACCTGGTCTGAAAAGGAGGGCTTCCTTTGGTCAGGACACAAATATCTCAGGAGTGGTGAGGCCTGTCCAGCTTGGTTCATTTTTTAGCTAAAATGGGATTCTTCCAGGATTCAGATGGAGCTACCATCTCTCGAGAAAACCTCAGTGCATACATGCCAGAGGTGTGAGGAAGCCCCCCCGCCCCCCCAGTGTCTGTCCTCCCACAGTGGGCAGAGGAGGGCTGAGGGACATGCACCAAAGACCAGAGGCTGATGCTCATGCTTCTGCCTGGCTTTACCATCTTCAGAAACTGGCGGGTGTGGGAAAAGTAAAAGGCTGACCTTTCTCTCAACCCTAAGTCACTGTGAACAGCTTTCAAAATAGCTGTCCCCCCCTCCCCCGCCGGCTTTTGATGGCTTCGGCTTCAGTGCTCCCTCAAAAAAAGTCCGTTTTCTCATTTTGGGTGACAGATTTCACCATCTATTTGCTTTACAAATGTGTGTGGGCGGTGAGCTCCTCTCGCCAGATTTTTCCCACGCACTTTCAGATCGAAAGGGCTGACCCTGCTGAGAGCATCCTCTGAGTCACCTGGGGAATCTCAGCATCCTCTGGCAGCAGCGGGGGACAGACGGCATCTCCAGAGCCTGTGGACAGAGTCGGGCCTGGATTATCCGGAACTCAAGGAAGTGGGTGTGTGTGTGTGTATGTGTGGCAAGTCTCAGAGTTTGGGCACCTTGGGCTAATCAGGGCTTAGCGGTGGGGTGATGCGAATGGGGATTCTGACAGACTCAGCCGCAGAAGCGGGGGACACGTGCCTGTGTATCTCAGCTGGTTCTCGTTTCGGCCCCCAGCCCATGTGGACTTCAAGCCTCTGGAAGGACTGTGGTATTAACAGAAAAAGCCTTCTGCTGGCCGTTTTGAGTGACTGGATAAACTGCTTCTACCTGACTTCAACCCGCTGGCTGGAAAGTAAGAGGCCTGATTTAAGGGTATCGTTAATGCAAGAGGGGGTGCTGAGGACAGTGTAAGCAGCTCACTTCCTCCCTCCCTTAACCTCCTCCTGCAGGCTTGCCCTTTGCCTTTCTCTGCCATGGAGTTTCAGGTGCCCCGTCCCTGGCCAAGTTGGCTAATGGGTTTGTTGATGGACTTAGAGCTGACCAGAGAGGAGTTACTGGGGCCCATCAGGCCCCAGGGATCCAGTGATTGTTGAGTAATCTCGTCTCTGGCATAGTGCTCGACGCTGTGGAGGCGAGGGGAGGGGAGCGATGTCGATGAATGACAGTCCTTGCCCTCAAAAGCGAGCACGGTTGCACTGAAGTGTGACTTATTTCCGAGTAACCGATTACAAGGGAAATCACACCTGAAGGAGGAAGTCTGGAGGAGGAAGGAAAGTGGAAGGCAGCAGGGCAGACGAGAAAGGAGTCTGCCATCCCAGATGTGGGCTGCGAGGTGGATTTCAATCTCGCTCTCCAGGTCTGACTGGGCATGGGCGCGTCGCCTGTGTCCAGGCTCTGTGCTGACCCAGCAAGGGCAGTGCGCAGTGGTGGTGGGGCAGGGGCCCTCCCTCTACTAGCTGCCTTGGCATGAGTCTTGCTCAGCTTTATACCACATGCTGACTAATCACGGTTCTCGGTCACCCATGACCTTTCCCTCACCCCACTTTTCTGGTAGATCAGAAGGTGCTCGGGGAACACCATGGCAGGACAGGAGACAGCGGAGCTGACGGAGCTCATCTGGTGATGGCGTGGACTGGACCAACACATCGGAGCAGGCAGGTCTGGACACCGGACTCAGCAGCTTGGGATGTATCCAGAGACCAGGCCACCAGGTAACCTCCGGGAAGATCTGCTGGCCTGAGTCCTTCTGAAAAGTGATGGCACCAGAGGATGCGCCACCTCCCAGTAGGGCAGCACAACCTTCACTCTGGCCCGGGGCTGGGCAACTCCACCACTGGATTACGTCTCCACGGAATGAAAGACAACGCTACTGTCAATGTCGTAGTGTTGGCTTTATTTAAAATCCTAAGGTTAAAAACATTTCCAAATGGCGCAGTAGACACTACAAAGGAATATATTTTGGGAAACAAAAGTTTCTCAACCCCACTTTGCAGGTGGGGTGCTGGCATTTGATGTGCTTCTGGTAATTCTTTGGCAGATAAGAATGAAATGAGCTCTCGGACCCACTATCCCTAAGGCCACAAGAACTGAGGATTAGTCAATTAAAGTGCAATTCTGATTTTGCAGCCAGCCAAAGGAGGCTTGGGTGTCACTCAGCAGCCCCTAGGGGCTGAGCCATCTCTGGAGAACACGTGGTAAAGTCCCACAGAAGCTTTTTTATCAGCAATGCCCCCTGAAATTTAAAGATATACCCTAATATTTCAAAAAAGTGCTTAAGAGGGGAAAAGTATTAATCCAATCTTCCTCTTTGCTTGGAAGACTCACAATAAAGTGATTCAGGGGTCTCAATCAAGTGCCCCTTGCTTGGGTGTTTTGTAAACGTGGATGACTGACTCGGCAGTCTCTGTGCAGGCAGCCCTGGGTTCTGAGTAGCAGCAGGGAGTCATCTCTGCTGATTTGCAACACCTCTGAGCCAGGGGAGTGTGCTCACATGGGCAGTTTCCAAAGTGGGGTTTAGAAAAGGAAACTCCTATAAAATTGCCCCAGTGGATATGTAACCATCATGTTAGCATTTAAAACAGACTCTGAGATGTCACCCTGAAGTGTGAGTTCCTTTCCTAAGTCTAGAATGGCTTCACCACCTTAGGTGACAAGTGAAAATTTTCAGTAAGACTGCCCCCTTCATTTCTTGAGTTGTATCATGTGGCTTTTCATTTTTACGTTCCAACTTGGTGGGATTTTTCAGTACCAGATTCCTGCTAGGTGATTTCTTGGCCTGCTGTTGTCCCAGTCCACCTGGGGTCCGGTGGGCTCAAGTCAGCAGAACTTTGTCGAGGTCACACTTTCTCCCAGAAGCCCTGTTGAGGGTGTGTGTGCCCGGCAGAGCTGTGCTCTTGGGTGAGGCTGATTAGTGATTTCTGGGGCAGTGGTAATCAAGGCGGCTGGTATCAATACAAACAGGAACTGACTGTTATTCAGAGTTGGGCCATCAAGGGGCTGCTGTTTTTTTAAAAAGCATAATCTGGGAAGGATATTTCCTTCCTGTTGATTTCTAGTGTAATTCAGTCTACTGGTTGGTAGACTATCATTTTCAATAGCTGTTTTCCATGGTTGTTTGCAACTTTTAAAGTCTCCCTAAGCCCCAAATCTCAGTAAAGACGGGAACCTATTTAAAATAAGACTAAAGCTATGTCTACAGGCTATAGCAAAACAGGCCCAGGTGTTCCCTGGCGGCCTCATGCACAGCAAGCTGGAGCTCACACAGCAGAGGAGCGAGGACAAGGGCCGTCCACCACAGAGTAAACAAGCCACAGCGGCAGGCTGTGACCACTGGGGACCGAGCGGTCCTCTGAATACGACAAAGGTCTTTGTGCACAACTGCAGTCTGTGATCAGGTGCAAACCACCAGGGACACCTGCTCTACTGGAGAAGTGCTTCTGGGTTGGCTTCCCAGGAGCCAAGTGATGTCTGATAGAATGTCCCAGGCCTTTCACAGGAAACATATCACCTACTTACTAAATGTTGGTTCTGGCTGTAGATGATGGTGGTGACACCAGCAGAAGGCCACTAGCTTGGCCAGAGTCTGATGGTATCCTAAGAATGCTAGCCACTCGAAACAAGACTCTAGACTGCTTTGCTCTGGGTTCTTTAAATTGTTAGTTTCCTTCATGTGGTCAATCAGCTACTTCTGATAATCCTTTCCACAAGGGAGGGTAGACACTTTGCTCTGGAAGAATCCTCAGGCTGTGTGACAGGCTTATGAAGACAAGCACTGCTACAGTCTCGGATCACCTGAATGGTTTCTGTTTCAGTAGAGAACCTTCAGGAGGTGCTAGAGATGCTGATGGCTTTCTGGCAGAGGTGGCTACTCTAAGGAAGAAGAACACGAGAGGTCCAGCTTTTCTCTTGGCTAACCTATCTGGAAGGTTCTGTTCACCATTCCCTAGGCCCCAGCTAAACGGACAGGTACATAAATCTCCTTTTTAGGCAAAAGGTCTGAGTCCCCTGCAGGGGTTATTTCCTCCTGCCCCTGCCCCAAGAGAGTCCTCTCCCCTGGGGCATGGTGGGTATGGGGTTTGTGCTTGCTTTGACCTGGGGGTCTCTGACCCGGTCTCAAGTTGTCAACAACAGTCAGACAAAGTCTTGAGGTGATCTAACTTGGCCACAGGCTAGCTGAAGGAGCAGCTAGGTCTGGTACTTGGGTTCTCAGATACCCCGTCCTACACTTGTCCTCAGGCCACCAAAGTGGGCTGCTCCATCCGATGCCCTGCTCACTGGCGGCTACAGGTGGCTGGCCTCTGGGAACAAGGCCCAAAGAGTCCATCACAGGTGAGCTCTCTGTGGTGGGAGAAGAAAAGGGACAGAACAGAAGAGACAAGAACAGGAAGATCATCACCTTGTCCAGAAAAGGAAGGCTTCATCTGCCCCAAGGCTAGATGTCTCCTGGTGTCAGGTACAGGATGAGCAGCAGGAGGAAGGTAAGTTGGATACTGGGGAATCTGGCAGGTGGGCCATGGGCACCAACAAGTGACCAAAGACCAGATTCATGAATTATGCCTGTTTACACTTGTCACCAAAGACTTTTGTTAGGTCCTAATTTTTCAAAGTGGTTCTTACCCTGATTATGGTAATTAGTAAACATTATCAGCAGGTGAAACAGAAGCTCTTATTTATATAAGTGAAGACAGGCCAACAGCCCAGGAGGGAGACCCCAATGCTGATGCACGAGCCTGATTTTTGGCCATGGCACTGATGTCAGCCATCACTTGGGTTTCAGCCTGCTGTACACAGACCACCACAGCAAGCCCTCAGTCCAATGGGGGGCTCTGTTTCCTGGGTTATTTTCAGTTCTGATTTTCAGGGTGACGTTCTGAGTAGCTGAGAGGCCTGGTGGTGTGAACGGCTCGACTTATGGACAGGATTGCCCAGACAGAAGGGCCAAGAAGTGCAGCTTAGATGTCCTTCCAAAACTGCTGAGTTCTGGAGCAGCCTGCAACCACCTGGGGCAGGGAAGGCCAGGAGCATGGCAGAGAGGCTGACGGGGATCTTGGGAGGGTGTCCTGGTGCCCTGACTCACAGTGGCCCTCTGGCTTCCTCTCATGGGAGCATCAGGGCCTCAGAGGGTCTGGCCAGGGCATGCAGGCTGAGGCGCCCAGTCACCCAGGATGCCCAGCCGGGCAGAAGAGAACATCTCTCTCCACTGGCAGAAGTTGGAATCCTCTCTGGCCTACAAAACTCTCTACAAGAGACCTGTAACCAAGTATGCCCCAAGAGGCCAATAGTCTCCTCAGTTTGTAAACTTTTGGCAGAGTGTCCCTTTGGGTGTTAGGACAGTTGGGTTCCTGATCAATAGAAATGTTGCTCGAGCCCTTAAAGGCCATGGGGCTAAGAGTGCTGGTGCGTAGTTAGTGCAGAGTTCACAGTGCTTCGGGGCAACGCAGCTCAGGGGGCAGCTGGAGGGCTGCTCCCACAGGTGCTGTCGATCAGCTTCAGAGCTATTGCTGCTGCTTCTTTTTTAATTTTCTTTCTTTCTTTCTTTAGTGCTTTATATGATAATTGAGGAAGAGTAGTGTTTCCTGTGGATAATGTGAAAGTATTAAAATCTGGGTGCTTGAGGCTACAGGAAATCACTTCCATCATAGATTATAGGCCGGTCAACTGTCAAGCGATAAAATACTTTCTTGGAGACAAACCTGAGGGAACAGAAATGAAAAGGAGGGTGTTACTTTGAGAGCGGGAAGCCTGAGGGGCAGCAGCCACTGCTGGGGCCTCTGTGGCAGTTGCAATGACCTGGTTAGGCGTGTGCTGGCTGCTGGCTGGAAGAGGGGGTAGGAGTCCTGCACCCCTCAGGCTCCCCACCCCCATTTCTGCAAGGGGTCAGGGAGTCTTGGGACATCACCATGGGCTCTGCCAGGAACAGGGAGTAGCACACCCGTGCAGTCCCATGCTGAGTCTCTCCTGCTGCCTTGCTGCTCTGAAGGGGCCGGGGCCTTGGGGGTCCAGGTGGTCTGGGCTGAACAGGGGATGGGGTAGATGGAGAAGGTGGTGAGAGGAGGTAAGTTGTGGAGGTGAAATGGATTTCTTCTGACTGGGCATCTAAATCTGTTTTGTCATCCATGGTTTTGGACTCTCGTAGGCCGAGATGACCTGGGTATGTCACAGAACCATGGCCGCCTCCAGTGATAATTGGAGGCCTGGGAGTGTAGAGGGGAAGGGCGGGGAGGGGCAAGGCGGGAGGCACATCCTTCTAACCCTTCCTTTGGTTGACACTGCTGGCCACAAGCCCCGGGGACTCCAAGCCTGGAAGTAGTGGCGGGGGCTGGCACAGCTTTCCTCTAGAGTCTCTTATTGATTTATTCTGCTAAAAGCCAAGTGGGCTGTGGCCGCTAACCCAGAGCCCCATTCAGAGAGGAAGTGGCTGGCTGCTGATCAGGCAGGTCTTGTAAAAGAGGCAGCCCTCACTACTCTCCCGTATCTTCTCACAGAAGGGCCCTGACTCAAGGTGGATGCTTCTCCCATGTTGATTCTCTGTCTTGCTTCCTTCCCTCGCTGTCTCTCCAGCCTTATGTCCCTAAATCCACTCTCCTGCTCCCCAAGCCCTGCAGTGCAGGGCCTGGTACGGTGCCTCCAGAGAGGGCACACGCCGCTGCCGCGCCCTCGTCAGAACACACATGGCACGTGCTAAGGTTCTGTAAGCACAGGCCTGTGTGTTGTACAACTGATAAAAGGCACTGGAACACCATAATATAGGGGTCGAAAATCAAAGAATTATTAGTAATAAATTACTGACAATTAAATAATCTCTTCTTAACGCCCACCTAGGTTGAGGCAGGTGGGTTCATCTGGATGCCGATGAATGAGGTGGCCCTACCTGGAAAAGGTGTTGTCGAAGATGAGCATGTAGATGCCGGGGGTGCGGACCTTGAGCTGGCCCTGGATGCTCTCCTTGTGGGAATTGCATCGGGTTGTGGGAATGAGGACCTGGGAGGAAAAGCAGATAAAAGCGTCACAGAGGTTGAGAGGTCTAGGGTGAGGAGAGTGACAGGAGCTATTGGAGGGGCTGGTCTTCCGCCGTGCTGCTCCCTCTGCTGGATGCTTCTCTAACCCACACCCCCGTTCTCACCCACATGACTACTTCTACGAGTTTGGTCCATGGGGCCTCCTTGATTATTGCCTCCCCAGGTGCACCCACAGTGCCTGCACACCCCACCAAGACACCACCACCTGGAATCACAGTTGTCTATTTACTGTGGTCTCTTTCCAGTTGCACCGTGAGCTCCTCAAAGGCAGACCCCATGTTGTCTCCTCTCTCTCCAACCCCAGGAGGTCTCACGGAGCCCAGTATACAGCAGAAGCTCAACAAATGGTTGTGAACAGGCTGCCCGCGTGCAGTGCCGTTCCTGGTCTCTGCACCTCCACAATCAGGAAACCTCAGGGCCACCATCGGCACCTCATCCTGCTGTTGCCTATAAGCCCCAGGCTGGTAAGAGCTCACGCAGGGAGTCCCTGGGACAGATGTTGAGGACATGTACTGGCAACAGGTTCTCTAAGCTGATGTCTATTTGGGGGATGTGAAGCAGAAATAACAGCTGCCTCCCACAGCTGGCTGGTGACAGAGGACCTGTGAAAGCAGAAGGAACCTGCCTCATTCTCCCTGTAGATGGGATCACTCTGCCCCCTGATGTCCACTATGGGAAAGACAAGGATACTCCTAGCCCCCAGAAGGCGACCTGGAACTGCAGCTAAGGAAGGCTTCTCCAGACCATGGAGTTTCTGATTCCTGGGAGGAACCACACACATCTCAAGGGTCATGAAGATTTGGTAAGGAGCTAGGGAAGTGACCCACGGCTCAGCCACAAGTGAGCAGGTGGAATGGCAAAGGCCTGGTCACTTGATTTAGTTACCTCCTTCCCTCCACGAACATTCACCAGCATCTAATCTGGGAGGATATAGTGTGAGGTGCTTGGTGTACCTTGGGAATATAAGGGTGAATGGCAAGGCGGAGGTGGCAGGCAAGTTCCTGGCAGGGCAGCTATTTGTTAGTGAACAGCTGACAGGCATCCTGGTTAAGCTGCTGTGCACATAACTACGGCCAAGCAAGTTTCCTTGGGCTCAGTTTCCTCATATGCAAATGGGACTAAGACCTGCCTCACAGAGAGACAACACCCTCCCTGTGCCCAGTTGGCAGCCTCAGCCTAAACACATTCTCAGACCAAAAGCTCCAGGATCTGCTGGATGGAAAGGCTCCAAACTAGGCATGTGGCCCGGCAATAATTCACTGAAAGGAAAAGAGGCACACAGCAGTTTTCAAATAAAAATGAATAAGGCTACCTCAAGCCGGTTAGCATGAAATTTTAGAAGTGAATTTGAGGACAGAAATGACAAAGCAATCTCTACAAGGAGACACCAACAGGGCAGACAGGGCAGAAGAATAGACCCAAATGGACACATGTTCCCCTAAGAGGACCCTAGAACAGGAGGGGCAACTGCTGTGTGCCCCACCCACCAGGCCCCCAAGTTCCATGCCTTTTCCTTCCTCAAGGCGAGCCCTTCACAGGCACCCAGGGGACCATATAATTAGTGACAGATTAGTGGACACGAATGCAAAGACCTCACAGAAGTCACACAAACTGGTATTCTTTATTTGATCTTGACTCTTCTCACGCTCGGAGAATGGAAACTCTGCAACTATATTAACAGCCCAGGATTCACTATAAGAGCAGGTCCAGCATGTCTGTCTTTACCATTCCTTTCATTCGCAATGATTCAAAGGCAACTCCAATTTTTACCCAAACCAGTTCTCCCTCCAATATTCCCCTCCCCTCTCCTTGCAGAGATTCAGGCATGGAATTCAGACCCCAGGCATAGGGCCTTCCATACCAGTCAGCCCCACATGGAGTCCTGTCCTCCTGTGCTCTGGGTTCTACTCCCTGCGTCTAGACCAGCGGTTCTCAACCTTGTCTTTCCTGGAATCACCTAGGGGTGGCTGGGTGCCACTCGTGGAAATTCTGATTTACCGGCCTGCGGAGTAGCCTCAGGAGCCTCCCAGGTACTTATAACATGTAGCAAGGTTGAGAATGATGGTCTTAGTCATCATTCTGGCTGTTTCTACTGATAATGTTTGTGGTGAGATACTGAAAACCCTCAATTGTGAGAAGCAGAGGGGCCACCACCTCCTGTAAGGACCCATTCTTGCCCTGCACAGCTCTGCTGAAAAATGATCCTTGCATTGAGTCATGTATTTGTATTCTTCTGAGTATCACCTCCCAATCTATCCCAGCAGCAGACAATTCTAGATATTTGAGACTCTCAGCCTCTGGGTCTTTCCATCCCGAAGCTAGACAAACCCAGGAGCTTTGCCTGCTGTGTGATGTAGCCCAGAGGGTATTCCCACATGGTTTCTCTGTGTTCCTCTCATGCTGGGAGCCCAGACTGTCTAGATCAGGCTTGCCCAGGAGGAGGTAGGATGGTCATGGCTCTGCTCTAGGAAAAGTCCATCCAAATACCCGGATGTGTGAACAAGGAGCTCGCGGTGTGGAGCCGGGCTTACCTTACACTGATCCAGCGGGGTGTCCTCTGCCTCCTGGAAGACCACACTGAAGGAGATGCTCTTTGGGTCGGAGGAGAAGACCCAGCTGATGGTGAGGCCTGCCTCCACCACAGTGATGGGGATGATGCTGTAGGTACTGGACCTCACAAACAGCTCCCTGTTGCCCTCCCCGAAGTTGACAATCTCTTCTACTGTGAGGGGTAATTTTATCCTAAAATACAAATCAGAGAGGGACTTGCTCAAATAGACCAAGTGTGGCTCAGAGGTGGCTAGAGACCTTGAAGCTCTTGGGAAGAAAGGAATTCGTAACCTTGACCAACTTGCTGAATTATGGGAGAAGACAGGCAGCACAGCTCATCCCCACAGATGAGCTGAGCATTTACCACATGCCAGGAGGAGTTCTAGGCCCTGGGAACAGGGAGTGAAACTATACCGAATACAATCCTGGCCTAAGTGGAGCTGGTGCGGCACCTGTGAGCTAGTCAGAGCTGAGGCTGCCTGAGCTGCTCCGTGCCCCTGGGGGACAGGAAGTCAGTGCTGAGCACTCGGCTTTCACTAGTTCCCCTGAAGCTGTCCTGAAGCTCAGCTGTCTTTCTTTATCCCCTTTCTCTTTCCAGTTTCCCGCCCCTCTCTTAACTATCAGCAACAGCAAAAGCACACTTATTGGAAAACTTGTCCTCTTCTCAGTGCAAATCTGGGGCTGCTGCAGGATTCCAAGCAGGCACCCTGATCTTAAATAGACGCGTCTCAGACTCTTTATAGTGCAGGGGTGGTGGGGTGCCCTTGCGGAGATAAGCTTCTTGGGGTGTGTCCCTGATTCTAACTTCCTACGTGAATAAGAGCCTCTTTCAAAAGTCCAGTGCGTTTAGTGACAAGTTTCTCTGATTTCAGGGTCCCTTGCACGACCCTGAGTGTGATGTGATGTGCAGAATGTGACGCATAGAGCAAGAGGACCTGGGTGCTGGTACCCTGCCCTGCTTCTTATTTGCTATAGCACTTAACTTCTCTTAAGCCTGTTTCTTCAGCCACAAACAAGAACAACCATCTGGCCTCCTGACTGAGTGAGCGCTACAGTGGAGGATGAACTTGACACTGACGGGGAAGTCTGAGGCTGTGTATCTTGACTGGGTGGCATTCCGTCATGCACCATGCAGCTATGGAGGCACATTCAGTGTCAGTGAATGAGAGACCGACCACATCTGTCCAGTGACTGTCCAATGTCCTATGTGCTGGGACATAGGACACAGCACACATTAGACAATGTGTGCTTCCCTGTTATGCCCCTGGGCATAACAACAGAGAAAAAGAACGGAGTGGTCTTGGGCAAGTCTCATCATCTCGACTGTGAAACTGGAAGGTGGTGTCACTGTGCGCCAGGCTTCCGTCTGCCGGCCTCAGGTAGCATCACAGCAGCCACATGCGGAAGCAGGATGCACCTGGTCACTCATGAGGAAGGTGAGGTTTCAAAAAGACTAAGAAATCTGATCAACACCCACACAGCTCTGACCCAAGGCCACTACCTTTCTGCTACACTAAATTTGCCTGAAAAAAAAAAAAAAACACATTATTGTCCTTTTTAACACAGGAGCAGAAACTTGGTTAGGTTAGGTAACTTGTCTCAAACTACACAGCCAGCAAGTGTTGGAGCTGAAATTCTATTTGTCTCCAAATCCGAGGAGCTAGGTGGAAATACTCCTCCAAAAACTATGCTAATGAAAGAGTAATCAACACTTAAAAAAACACCAAAAGTTCTAAAGAACAACTCTGATGTAAGTCGTTTACCTTTGTGAAGATTTAATTCCATGTAACATTTTTTTTATTTGTTAATTTAAGCTTTATTTCTAATTATGGTACAAAAGACCCTTCCAATAGTTATCATATTGAAGACTATGAGAGTAGGTAGGAGAGGGGTCCGTTCTGGAAAAGAGGTGCATCTTCTCACAGGAATGTCTTACTATAAAGGGGGTTTTGACTGTATAAATCATAACAAAAAACAAAACAAACACAAGCTGACAGCCACCATCAGGCCAAGGCAGCACTCGGGGTGCTCTCCGCCTCTGGCACTGAGGGCCAGGGCTCCCCTGGGCTGCTGCTCTTCCCCAAATGTTACACTGACCACCTGGCTCAGCGACCTGTCACTTACATCAGTTCCCCGGACTTCAGCAAGCAGATTTCAGCATCCTGTCCCCCAGGCACGTCCTCTGTGTCCTCAGGGGTCAGTGAGTTTGATGTGGTGTCTCTGAAATGCCATAAAGAAGAAGATATTCAGCTCCCAGCACCCCGATACCCACAGTCTTGGCTCCACATAGTCAACCTCAGAATGCATGGGAAGTCCTTCAATCCCAGAGGCCACACCAGATGCTACACCTTGCATGGTGTGAGGCTAAGTATTTATGAGGTTCTTGTTTTGACTTTATGTCTACACAGAGACATCCAGAAAGGTCCAGGGAGGAAAGGTCCAGGCAGCTCTGCTAGAGGATGTCACAGGATTAAAAATGTCTGCGAAGTCAGGAAACAAAGAGGCCACTAGAGGGCACCCTCTACCAGAGCCCTTTCCCTTCCTTGCTATTGATATTTTTCTCAGAAAAGATGAGATAAACTCACTACCCCGAGTGACCTTCCTCCCACCTTGCTCTGGCTGGGGGGGCCTTGTGCTGAGCAGTGCCTTGTGCGATGATGGCCCATCACTGTTCCTGCTGAGCATGCGCATCTGTCCACTGGCCTGCCCCTCTGGGGTGGCGGCCTCACCATCCCTGGCACCTGCTGTGCACATCGCCTATGCTCAAGCAATGCCTTTGTGCCTCAGGGGAAGGTGGTGTAATGGCCCAAATGCTCCCAACAGAAGACGTGACCAAGGCTCCACTTATACCCAAGAAAGAATAAAGTGTTGACCAGGAACAAGTTGGATCCTGAGGAAGCATCTGGCAGTGCTGTCCAGGTGACCACACCTGTCTGGACGAGGGGGTCCCTCGGGCTGCTGAAATCTCGATTACCCTGTTCTCACAAATCAAAATGCCTTAGCTCCCTTTTCATTTACTATTGTACAACCTCAACCCTGCAGCCAACCTGAGCAGACTGATTGCTGAGACGGGCTGAGGAAGGAGTGGGTGCTAGAAAGCGCCTGTGGCCTGAGTCACTGGCTGATGTTTTCTCCAGAGCACACCATCTATGCCTTGGCCTTGCTAAGCCCGACACAGTGAGCAAAGTGACCCACAACTTCACTGACCCACAACTTCCTACCATCTCTCAGGTCAGCTTCTAGCCATGGTCAGTCTCCTGGGAACTGGGAAGTCTTTAGTTATGACTAAAGACAGCAGCCCCTAGTCTCAGATAAGACACTTACATTTAATTTCAACAAATTTAAAAAAACACTAAGAGTTTGGCTCCTTGGTTGTACCAGTCACAGGCCAGTGGTGATGGTGCGGGATAGCGCAGGTACAGGATGTGGTCACAGCGCAGAAGGCTGTGCTCAGCGGGGGGTTTGGAAGGCTGGCCTGAGTCTGCTGTGGACCTTATCCACTGTGGTTCTGACTATTAAATTCCTAGTAGTTTTTCTTTGAGTCACTGGCTCTCTTTTGCCAAAAAAGCAAATGAAGAAAAGCAATTCTGTTATCTTGATTTCTGATTACCTAGTATCTAAGGTCTGACACCAACACGCAAACCTATATGCACAAACTCACAACCAGCATCCGGGGCCCTGCAGAGCAAGCCGCGCCCCCTCACTTGCAGCCAGCTGCTTAGGCCATTTTCTGAAATATTTTTATCTTATCTTCCACCATTCCCTGCCCATGCCTGGCAGTTAGACTCTGCTCTGAGTAGCAGCACTCTCTCATCACTGGGTCCTGGAATGGACATCCTTTCTAGGGCCCAGGCTCGAAAGGTCAGTTCAGGAGGCCTGTGCAGGTGAACAGTCTGACTCCAGAGCCTACTTCCTTTCTCCCCCCAACTCTCTTTAGAAAATGTTTAAGTATTCCTGAAGAAATCCAAGACATGACTGGGTATTTGCCAAGTGTAGAGTTTTGTTTCAAAGAAAAGTAACACCCTTGAACAATGAACACTACAAATTGGCCCCAAGAAAAGGCACTCTGGGGCCCCCTTGGTGGCACAGGTGATCGAGTGCCACACTGAGAAGCTGTCCGCAGCCTGTGCAGCGCCAGTCTGATCCCGGCTGGCTGGCGAGAATCCTGTATGGCGAAGCAGACCTCTCCTGTCTCTCCCACTGCTCCCCCCAGCAGTGTATTTCTTCAGTCTGCCTGTTCTGTTCCCCGCTCTGTCTCTGGTGAATCCTCTCACCCTCCCACGCATCTGGCCTGTACCCCAGTTCTTGTATAAAAACAAATTTTCCAAAAAAAAAAAAAAAGGCACTCTGTAGAGCAGTTGAAATAAAATTCTGGCCCCCACATCATGAGTGGCTCAGTGCCTACAACTTAGTTGCAAGTTTCCATTGGAGAACTTTCGATTGGAGCACAATTAAGACAAACACAGTCATGCTGTCACAAATAAACATTATCGCCGCCCCCGCCCCCAGCAAGCACATGCATGTACACAGTCACAGACACTGACCTGGGACCCAATTCCGATGATAGCTGACTTCTCCCTGGGGAAAACTCATCTCTCAAAGTTTAAAAATTCCAAAATATCAGACAAGGTAACTCTACAGGCCATCTGGCCCTGAGAAATCGCTTTCAGAAGGATGGATGCTTTGGCTTATCTCCCCTTCAGTATATGCCAGTTCATCTGTTCATTCGCCCATCAGTCCCTGCATCCACCCATCCATTCAACTATCGAGCCATCCATTCTTCTAGAGGTACATATTCTACACAGCCTCATGCTTCCTGCCCTCAGCGAACACTTTACTCACTTGTAACAGATCAATAGAAAGGACAGTTTGAACTATTTCATTAAAAAAAAAAAAAAAAGAGACTTGAAAACCCACTAGAGGTCTTCAGATCCCTGGGATAGCTCTCATACTAAGAAAGATTAATACAGGGAGCACAGACTTTGCAGTTAGACAGATCCTGGGTAACTCCTGGTAACATGGACGCTCTTGGGCAAGTAAGCTCATCTCTCTAGTTTTATGCTTATCATCTGGAAGTGACAGGAATTACTCGACTGTAGATAGGAGGCATGGGGCCACGCTTCTAGCAAAGCTGAGTATTACTCTCTAGGTCTTGGGACTCAGTCCCTGAGTCCAGTGCTCGACACCCTGCCCTTAGGAAGGCTTGCTTAGCAAGTGGGGCACAGATCACCAGTCCTGGGGGAAGCATGCTTGGGAGTACAGAATCAAGGTGACTGGTGACAGAGAGCAGAAAAGGAGCCCTCAATTCTACTTAGTACCTTTTCCACAGAGGAGGTATTGGGGTCATGTGACAAGGCAGACATTCCTCCAATTCTTGCCTTCCAGGCATCATTTCCTAGACTATCAATTTTTTTTTGGAGACCAACGACCAGAAGTGTTCTGTGATTAAGGTGTTCAATATCTGCACAGTTTCAGAAACAGAAAGGGCAGTCTCAGAAAACCAGATGATTCCAGCTGATAAGCACAGCCTCCCAAGGTGCTCCAGTGGTGTGGATTTAGGTGGTGGGGATGCATTGGGTCTTCTGGCAGACCCATCATCTGGACACTATCTGGTCCACTGGCCTGACAATATCAGAGACCTGGGTTTAAATGCAGAAAATGCCAGTTATTAACTGCCTGCACGTGGAGCTGCTATGTGGTTATGGCCCTCGGGTTTTACATCAATGACATGGGGGTAATACCTGCTTTGCAAGACTGCTGTGAGGACTGGAGGCGAGGCCGCCCCATATGTTGGAGCTACATGCATACACAGAGCTCAGCCACAGCATGGACTCTGCATCGGTCCAGAGCTAATATGTTCCAAAGACATCCCATGCTCAGTGAGTGAAATAATTTTAAGATACAAATGCCTCAGAGTCAAATCTACTTTCTGCCCCCTCCCTCAGATCTCCATGAATTAAGGCCCCAGTCGGGATGCAGGGGATGTGGAGTATCAGAGTCACTCTTTCATATCTTTGATCCCTAAACTACACAGGTGCACGCTGATCACATTGATTCTAATCTGCAAGACGGGGGCGGGGGGTAGGGCTGGGTCTTTGTTAATAACCAATCGAGAGCTCTTACAAATACTCAGTGGAAATATAGGCAGCTCTTTCTGCTGTGGGCAAGCTCATATCTGCAACAGACGACAGAGCACTATCTCTGCTGGTGAGTCATTTCCTGCCCTTGAGAGTTGAGAGGCTGGGGGATATTACCAGGTAAAAGGGGTTCCAACGGCTACCTGCCGCACACTGTGTTGCCAAATGTACAGGCTTTAGAGCTCAACTACTCTTGGTTTGAATTCCATCTCTGCATTGGCTGCCAAGAGAAAGAGTAAGTTATTACTGCAGCCCTGGGCACACGGTATGAGGGTGTAAGTTATTGGAACTGGTAGCAACAGCATGAACACACTCTCCTGGGAGAGAAGAGTCTTGTCCCTGGCTGTATCTGTTCGCTGCGCGATCTCTCTTCCTATTTTTCTTCTGTTTCTTTTATATTTTACAAGAGGCAGTGAATGTAGTTTATTGTTTACTCTTCTCAATATAAGCCCATAAACCTCTGTAGAAACCTTGAAATATGGAAATATTGAGGAAAGGAAATAAGTTACCCCTAATTTCAGCAGTGAGAGGCGAACTGCTGATGAAAATTGGTTGTTTTTCAATATCAAATAATATAGTAAAAAACACAGTTTATCATGGATTCTTAAATTAGGGCCCATAGGATATGTGGCAGAGGAATCTGAAGGGGTCATGATGCACCAGAATTGCAGGTGTGTGTGCACATTATCACTGAGGGAAAGTGATATGGCTTTTATTAGATTCTCAAAGGGGATTATGATCAAAGATGATTGAGAATCAAGACCAAAGGAGGGTAACAATCATGACTTTTACATCATCAGTTTTGCATCATTTTGCCCCTCTATTTATTATAATAATAACAGCCTATAGTACTGTTGCATACAGTTTTTCTCCCAAAAGTAGAATGTACCAAATTGGTATGAGTTAGTGGGTTATTGTTTTTGCATCTGGGAATGCTAAAAAATTTCCATATAAATTCACAGTAATAGCATTTCCATATCCCCCCAAATAACCTGCCAAATCATACCAAATAGGAACGTTCCACTTTTAGACGGGGTTGGGGGGAACTGGTATTTACTTTGTACTCAAACTTGAGCAAATGAAATGTCCTGGATTTTCCAAAACAGGCACTTCCTAAATACTTCAGTCACTTTCTCTTTTATGTCTGAATTGTAATTCATTACTTATTGTCAGATATTTACACTATTTCCAAAGTTGTATATATTACTTTTTTTAATTTCCAGAAATCAACCTAGAATTTTGGTTATAGAAGATAAAGAAATGAATGGTTTTAACATTTCTAGATGGAAAGTCATTTTTAATATTCTTTTTACACCATTGTGCAGTCCCAACGAGCTGCCATTATCCTGAAGTGTATCATTACTACAAATGAGTTTGTATAGGTCTTTCAAGGAGACATGTAATATGTAAACAGCTCTAACAGCAATAGCTCTAACAGGAGGATTTTTTTTTTAAAGTCAAGGATAAGTCAACAATAATGGAGATTTGGCATTACTTTTCAGGAAAGCAAAGCAGCCAGCTTCATATTCTAAATGATAAAAGAAAATGCTTTTGTCCCTGTGCGAAGCAGTAACACACAGACCATCACCTGACCTACTTAACTGGGGGGGCCTAACCCTAACTGGGCGGTGTGATGGTGAGTGGCTGGCCCATTACCCTAGAAATCTAACATTGTGTCATCTAGTAGCAGGCACTTTTCACTGAGTAGTCTTACTCCAAAGGCAAGGTCCTTCCCTGGAGAGAAAGGGTACTTAGCCCTCAGGAAAGAGAGGAGACAGCACCAGGGCTGACACTGTTTCCAGTCAGCAGGAAAAGTCTCCAAGAGGATCTCTTCTTTTCTATGCCCTGGTCTGACTAGTTAATATTTTGACTTTGCTAAACCAAATACCTGTTCTAAAAACATTTTCTGGGTGCCACCAGGTAGCTGGCAATGAGCCATGGCACAGTGAGGATCCGTAGATCTATGGCAAAGATGGCCTGGCACACCAAGGCCAATGTTGCCATAGCTGCCCTTGCTCCCATGCCACAAATGCCATCACCTGTCTCTGGTCCTCATCAGGGTTGCAGGCAGAGATAAAGACTGGAGGGAAACGGCAGCCTTGAAAGATGGGGAGCCCCAGGCTAAAAGGGCAGCTTTTTGATCTTTGCTACAAGCCTTACCAGGTTCACTGCAGGAGCCCACCCAAGTCTTCCATTTGTTTAAGGCGACCCCTCAGCCCTAACTTGCTAATCATAGAAGCTAAAGTCATGTTCCTTTCTGGGGAAATCTACCTCTTAGAGATTCCTGAGAATTAAAACGTCAGGAAGAAGGTTCTGATGGTGGAAGGTCATAAATTGTGAGAGATGGTAAAAGCAAGTTTGAGTATGAGAACTGCCCAGTTCCTGGGCATGAAACTAACTTAGCCAAAGTGCTGGGCAGCCCCAGGCTTTTCTACACTTTATTTCCCTATAACTCATCTTAAATCTATGCAAATAGAGGCAAGAAACAACAGGACAGATGCCCATCCAGGCAGAAAAGGGCTGGACATCCCCAAACACCTCCTGGTCTCCAGGAGTCTCTTTGATGGTGACACCCCTGGAAGGGGTTTGACTGAACAGAAAGTGGGGCTGGATTGGGGGGGGGGGCAACTGCTGGGGCGAGGGGAGGTGAGGACAGGCCCTTCCCATCAAAGAACAGCACTGTTTTTCCAAAAGTGCACTGGCCCACTTCACACAGTGACCTTTGCTTTCAAGACTATTTAACATCAGATTTTACAGATGTATGTGGGTCCAATTAAGTGTTCTCTCCCAGGTGGGTGAGATCCTGAGAATTTTAGAGCTAATAATGAGCCCTTTAACAGACCTGAGCCACTTTCTGTCAAAACTGGCTATCTCCAGTAGACCATGCCATCACTGAGCAGAATAACAGGTCGGTTTAGGAGACTATTTGCCCCCCAAATAGGGTGACAGGACAATGAGAAGACAGCTGGTGTCACCCTCAACCTCAAATATAATTCCTATGTTTTGATTCTATGTGTTCATCGGCAGAGACACCATGGCTGAGATCCACACAGACATTGTGGAGGAAAATTTCTACAGCGATTCCAATGACAGCATCCAGGAGGACATACACTTCCAGCAGTTCCGCAAGTTCTTTGTGCCTTGCATGTATGTGGTGGTGTTCATCTGTGGCCTGGCGGGGAACTTCCTGGTGCTGGTTATACACATCTTCTACCAAAAGCGGAAGAGTCTAACGGACATGTTCCTAATGAACTTGCCACTGGCTGACCTGCTGTTTGTCTGCACTCTGCCCTTCTGGGCCTATGCAAGCATCCATGAGTGGGTCTTTGGCAACATCATGTGCAAAACCCTGCTGGGTATCTATACCTTGAACTTTTATACATCCATGCTCATGCTCACCTGCATCACTGTGGACCGCTTTATTGCAGTGGTTCGGGCCACTAAGGCTTATAATGAGCAGGCCAAGCGGATGACCTGGGGTAAGGCCATCTGCTTGACTGTCTGGGTGGTCTCCCTGCTGGCTTCCTTGCCACAGGTCATCTATGGCAATGTCCTGCACTTAGACAGGTCTATCTGTAGGAATAATGACGAGGAAATTTTTACTGTGATTCTTGCCACTCAGATGACACTGGGGTTCTTCCTGCCATTGCTTGCCATGATAGTCTGCTACTCAGTCATAATCAAGACCCTGCTTCATGTCCGAGGCTTCCAGAAGCACAAGTCTCTAAAGATCATCTTCCTGGTGGTATCTGTGTTCTTGCTCACCCAGACTCCCTACAATCTTGCAAAGCTCATCGGCAGCACGAGCTGGGAGTATGAAACCATGATCAGCTTTGACTATGCCATCACAGTGACGGAGGCCATTGCCTACCTGCGGGCCTGCCTTAACCCTGTGCTGTATGCTTTTGTTGGCGTGAAGTTTCGGAAGAACTTCTGGAAACTTGTGAAAGATATTGGCTGCCCTTACTTGGGGCCCTCAAGTCAATGGAAGTCTTCTGAGGACACTTCTAAGACTTGTTCTGCCTCCCACAATGCAGAAGTGACTAGCATGTTCCAATTGTAGTCCTCAGGGTCTGGAAAGCTGCTCAGCAATTTACAGGAGTATGGCTGAGTCCTCTGCATGCCATGAGGGAGGCTTTGTCTATAGCTTGTACATTGCCATTGGAGAAGGAATCAAATGTTGCAGTTGGTGCAGAATGAACTTCTTAGACATATATACTCTGTTTGCTCAGGTTTGACACCTTATTTTGTTTTCTTCCTCAACACCTGGGCCTAAAGCTCAATAGGGCAGCTAGAAACTGTCAAAGGCTTTGCTTCCTCTTTCCCCAAGAATCAGGGAATGATGTGGGACTCCTAGGACATCAGGTTCTCCTTTACTGGGGCCAGGGCTGCAATCTGAGGAGGGGACACAGCCAACAGTGCTGCTGATGGCAGGGACACTCTGGGCTCCCAGGTTCAAGAGCTTCTTGTGGCTAATGGAAAGCAAGAGAGATGAGAGCAGCCATGAAAACCAGTGCTGGCACAACGTTCAGACTTCAATCACTAGGCACCTGGCAGAGGTGAGAAGAGGTTCTGCCTTACCTTGGGGCTTGGCTGATACAGGTTCATGTTTATATTCTCTTTGATTAAACCTAGAAGGAATAGCACCAGGATATATGAATGAGCCAGAACCAATCAGAGTTGGCTGAGAATTCCAGTGGTCCAGAGACTGCTAAAAAATGTACATGTGCAAAGCAGAGTTTAAGACTCTGACCATTCTAAGCAGTACTTCTGAAATGGGTTCTTTGGTGGATTTACTCATGTAAAATTTGAATTATCCAATGCCTGACACACACATAAGTCACATGTAAGTGTATAAAACATACACACATCAAAGAGCATCTGATTTTCATGACTAAGAAATAAAACTTTTGAAAAGTCTACTTTATCCTTTAATCTTTTATCCTTAGGCACATTCTATTTTAATGCAGCCTGCCTAGAATATACCAAAAATGATTACTTGTGGGCTCAGAGCACAGGAAAACATTAAAATACATACTTTGAGGACACAGTTCTGTCAAGGAAATGGAATATACCAGTGATGACAGTGATTCACTGCGGCATCCAACCTCCTGCCCAAAATGTGAGGTACATTTGTTTAACCTCTATAATGTGGTCACAGGAGGAGGTTGAGTTTTAAATGTCAGAGGCTTGTGTGTATTTATTAAATCCCAGCACTCTGCCCAACAGGTTTATAGTTGCTTTTTTGGCTTATGCCTCAAAATCAATCACGAAAATGGAGAACCAGTTAGCTACAGGCAAAGAGAGCACACACGGAGGTGGGCCAGAACTGGTGGAGCATGTGGCTTTGTGGTCCAGACAGCCCAGCATGCATCCACTCTGCCCCTCGCTAGTTAGGAGGACTAGGTGGTGATCTCTTACGTGCTTTTGTTTTGGTGAAATATGGACCATAATAGTATGCACCTGCCAGAACTGGCTGAGGACTGAAGATAGTACATGTAAAACAGTGAGGACAGTTTGAGTTTATGGGTAGAGGGTTCCAAAATGGCAGCAGGTATTACTATTTCTTACAGGACAGCACCACAAAGTGGAAACCACCTGCCGCTGACTGTGAACTGGCGAGCTTGGGAGGGTTTGCTCAGTGCCCTCCAAATGTGTATGGCATGGCACACGCACCCTGACCTAGTGGAGCATGGGCCAGGCCTGGCAAGGCCCACATGGTCCTGCCTACTCTCTCATAGATGTGCCTAAATGGATGCTTCACTGTGCCTGGGCTGCCTGGACCCCTGCGGGTATCCTTCAACAACAAAAAGTGCCCTTTTCATGGTGACATGGCTGACGTTCACCTTTCTCCAACTGGCTTTAAGGAGTTTCTGTCACCTCCCCTTGTCCATTCCTCCTGATGCTGAGCATTTCTGACAGCGGGCCTTCCCTGGCTTCCCTGACAGTACCTCAGGCCAAGAGGTAGAGGCTCAAACTGGAAAGAAGTGAAAAGCCAGGAAGCCAGGACTCTGCAGCATCTCCACATGTTCTCATGGAGGGAAACAGTGTGGGGTGATGGGAAAAGCTGGGTTCTGGGTTCCCTGAGACATTGGTTCAGTGACAGTTCCACCTGTGTGCACCCCTGAGCACACTCCACTATCCACCCCAATGGCCAGTGACAGCCCCCCATGCTAGCACATTGGTGAGGCACAGCCAGTGCACTCTGAGGGCCAGCCTGGGCACTACCAGGACACACCAACAGGGGGGCAGCTGCAGAGACCTCTGAGTTCTCCCTGACCAGGTGCCCATCTGGCTGAGAAGGGCAAACAAGACCAGAAGCATGTGAAGTTGGGCCCCATCCCGGGCCTGCTGCGTGTCCTCTCCCTCCAGGCTTACTCAAAGGGTTTTACACTGGCCCTTCCACAGCTTAGGAAGCCCTGCCCCCTGGCTCGGCTGTCTTCCTTCATCCCCTCTGCCTCCACAGTCACGCTCTGGGCCCTTACCTGCTACACCTGGGGGAGGGGGAAGGGGTAAGATTATCATTTTCCCAACCCCTTCCCTGGAGATAAACTATTTTTGGGAATAGACACTGGTGCACACATGTAGTTACAGAGGGATCCCATGCACTCAACAGCCCCATTAAGTGTAAGTTCCCAACCTTAGAACTGCTCTTCTCTGATTCTCCCCTCTGTTCACAGGAGGACATGATGTGAAAGGCCTGGGGAGCAGAGGCAGGACTAGAGAGAGGGTGGCCAGGCTGGGTGTGGACCTGGCTGACTCCAGGCTATGCTGGGTGTGGCCTCAGAATTCGAGAGTAGAGAAACATGCTCCCTCCCCAACAGATCCCCAACACTTGCTGGGGGACGGGGAGTTGAGCAGGTGGGTTCTGGCCTCATAGACGCTACAAATGGCCACATAAGCTGAGATATGAATTCAGGGAGACCCTGCTTCCAGGGCTAGAAGCCAGAAGCCCAGTTATCATTCTGGAGTGAGGAAATGGTGCAGCAGGAGAGGAAAACCTGCTGCTGCTCCTTGTGGCAGGGAGTGGGGGGCAGAGAAAATAACACAGGGCTCAGGAATTTCAGGGTGCTCACTCCAGCCTGCTCCTCCAAGGGGTTCTCAAGGAAGCATCCCTTTTCATGTGCCCAGTCCTTCACGGCCCATGGTAACTACCAATACTGTTTTGTAGAATGCCTAGCACTCTCAACCTTACTTTTCAGATGGGAAAATTAGTTCAGAGAGATTAAAACCCACCAAAGCTTACCTGGCAGAGCTACAGCGAGGCATCTATGAGCAGCCTCTTTCTCTGCCCCCAAATGTTGGCTAGAAAAGCTTTCATGCAGGGATGGGCTGTGTGTACCACGCAGCTCTGTATTCAGTGGAAATGCTGGGTTAACCTAAGCATGAGCTCTGTACTCAGTGGAAATGCTGGGTTAACCTAACTTAACCTATATCACCATATCCTGTTCTCATTTTGATTTTGAGACACCAGGCATCAGCCTCCTGGTTGGTAACAAACCTGCACAGTTTCCCAGCACACTCTCATTGTGAAGCAGCGGTTCTACAGCAATTACCAGCAAAGATGTGCTGTGAGTCAGGGAGAGTTTGGAAACTTAAACTCTGGGGGTGAGTGCCATGCGAGCATCTGGTGTGATTTCCTTGGAGAAGATGACTGAGCCACCAGGGGCAAGGACCTAGGCACAGAGGGGCACATGCATGCTCTGCCTTGGACATCACTACGCAGGGCCAAAAAGCATGCAAGCCACCACCAATACCGAAAGCTTCTCAAGTGCCAGGCACTGGGTTCAATGCTTTCCATACATCATTCCCCTCGAGCCCTCCTAACAACCCCAGGGGGCTGAGTGCTGTTCCTGTCTCTTCCGGAGAGGTGAGGAAACTGAGTTCAGGCAGCTGTGGTGCCCAAAGGCATGGCAGATCAGGGATCTGACCAGGGTGTCTGTTTCTGGGGCTCAGCCTTCTCACTGCCATATAGTGTATTATCAGAAGGGGAAGCCAGCAATGGGTAGAAGCTAAGCAGAGATACTTGGGTTCATCTTCAGCAACTAAGCCCTTAACTGGCGTGCAGGGCTGACTCCTCACAGTTTCCTTTCCCTGGAATACTTCCTGATTTCGACTACAAAGATCCCATATTCATCAGCATTCAGAACACCTTCTGTTTTTGTTCCTACTGGGAAGGGGAAGGTGAGGGGAGTGGGAAGGAGGGAGCTGAAGTACATCACTTTCTTAGTCACTCAGGCTACAGCGGAAGGTTGCCCTCCCAAATCCTCAGATACCCAGTCCTACTTTCCTTATTACCTACTCACCTGGCTAGGATTTGAGGCCTGGTAAGTAAAGAGTTGCCAGTGATGATGGCAGAGTGTAGCTTAGTGCTAATGGCATGGAGCATGCCCTGAGTACCATTGGGAGGTGGGGACCAGGGAAGAGCTACCACAAGCTGACGTCATCAGGGAAGCCTTTGGGGTGTGTGGATTGGGGGTCCAGAAAGGAAAAGGTAAGTCCCAAAAATCGCACAAGCAATAATGAGCATGGGCTGTCTTCAGACTCTACCCACCCGTGAGGCCACAACACGGCAAGTTCAGTTACTTCCTAGTAGGGACCATAGGAGTGTGGAGAAGACACACTTAAGCCTAAAGTCTCCAGTGCTGCAAGCCTCATGAAGATTAAGTACATTTCCTCCTCTGTGGCAGAAATCCTCACTTAACAATCTGACAGGTCAGCCCTGGTGCTCCTCTGAATTCTGGGTAGGAAAGAATAGCAATCTCAATGCAATTGGGCATCCCAGAAGGAGCTAACTTGAGGAAGAGTGGGTCAGGAAACAACCGGACCTGTTATTCTTTCTTGAGCTTCTGAACAGCCAGTGCTTTGCTATAGAAACTGCACTTGAGCCAGATACTAGGGGCTGACAAACACTAAGCAAGGACACCATGAAGGGGACCTTGAACTTTTCCTATAGGTTCCACGGCATAAACTCTTGGCATTTCAATAAAGTGGCACTTTGTGCACAAGGGCCAGGCACCGAATGAGGAAATGAAGGTGACGTCTACTTACTGTTCAGCCACATTTGGGTCAAGAGAATCAGTTTCAGTGGGTGTTTCGGGCAAGGAAGAGCCAGATTCCTGGATTTGGCACAACTCCTCATCTGTGATGATATCAAACAGGGCATCATCTGGAGGCCTGCAATCTGTGTAGGCAGATTAAGAGTGAGAAGTGCATGGTTACGCACAGGTTGGGGAGGGAACTTCGGGGGAGTGAGGGAGCACAGCTAGGCAGGACACCGTAAATTTCCACCCAACTGACAGCTCTTCTGTCCAGAAGTGAAAGAAATGGCTATTGGTGCTGGAGGAAGCAGAAGAGGGGCCCACAGATGAGCCAATGCATAACTTCAGAGATTTCTCTTAAATCTCTTAGTTGTGAGCTTAAAGAGGTTTCAACTTCTTATATATTCTGAGGCTCCTTATTTAGAAGGAAAAGCCCCACTGAAACCTTATCAGAAATAATCTAACAGAACAGTAAGTACACTTCTGTGCTGTTGACTCCTTGCTCCACAAGTCACAGACTATGATTTCATGGCTTTGAAAGCAGAGTTCTATCTGATCTGCAATTTTCACTCCAATCTACTGGGGGGTAGGAAGGAATCTCGCTCTGCAAGGAGTTGCAGTGATCACTTACTTCCAATCAGGGAACTGTGTCCAACTTGGTGGACCACTCAGTAAAAGGATGCTGTATATATGCTCCCGTGCCAGTCACCTACCCCACACTCTCTTGTACATGTCAAGGAAAATATGAAGATGGGTCTGAAGTAAATGATGGGGGGTGGTGGTAAGAAGGACAGAAAGGAAGAAATGAGGACACAGGAAATGTCAGAAATCAAAACAAGTAACCTCAGTACTCTGAGATGACACCATCCAGTTGTCATAAACACCCACCAGTGAGTCAGGGCAGTGAGTCAGGGCAAAAGATTTTTGGGCTATGCAAGCAAGAAGGACAGTTCATATAAGCTATAAATTCTCAACTGGTCCTGTTACTTGGGACCAGGTGTTAGAAGAAATGTCTGTCTTCTTGTCTGACATCTGCATAACAGAGGCTGAAGAACAGGTTGAAAAAGGGGCCAGGAATTGGTTTCTTTCCATAGACACAGCCATACTCCTGAACCTGCCTTCCAAGGCTGGCAGAGGGAAGGAAGAGGAAAAGGAGGGAAGAGAAAATAAGCATCAGGGATACAAGATGATGTCCACTAATCAAAATCAAAGAAGACCTAAATAAGTGGAGCGCTATACTACGTTCATGGATTAGAAGACTAAATTATGTTACGATATTAATTTTTACCAAACTGATCTAGAAAGTCAATGCAATTCCAATCAAAATTTGACTAAGATTTTTTTGTAGAAACTGAAAAATTAATTCTAAAATCTATATGGAAAAGCAAAGAGCCTAAAAGAGCCAACGCTTCATTGATAAAGAACAAAATTGTGGAGAACTGTCTCTGCCTGATTTTAAGACTGTCTTATAAAACTACAGTAATTATAACAGTGTCGTTGGTGAAAGGGCACATAGATAAACAAATGGAATTGAAAGTCCAAAATAGACCCACACATATCAGGAAAATTGATTTTTGACAAGAGCACAAAGGCAATTCAACAGGAAAAGAATAGACTTCTCAACCAATGGTACTGGAATACTTGGACAATCACATGTAAACACTAATCTCTACTCATAGCTTGTATAAAAATTAACTCAAAATGAATCACGGACCTAAACACGCAACCTAAAACTATAAACTTCTGGGAGAAGACAAGAGATCACTGTGTCTTTGGGTTAAGCAAAAACAGACATGATACCAAAAGAAAATAACGGATATGTAAGAGAAAAAGAATTGATAGGGTGGACTTTATAAAAATTATAAACTTTTACTCTTTGAAAGATATTTCTGTTCTTTGAAAGAAAATGAAAAGACAAACCACAAATTGGAAGAAAATAATTATAAAATACATATTCGATAAGTAACTTATATCCAGAATATATAAGGACCCTCAGATTTCAATATTAGAAACAAACAAAACAGTGGGCAGAAGATTTAAAGGAGATAAAATAAAGTTGTACAAAGTACACTCCTCTACCTATGAGCAGGTCTTTGTATACAATATAAATAATAGGGCCTGCCAAACTCCTGATGATCCAGTTAATAACCAAAAGAGGAGTAAGTTTTTCTAAAGGTTGACTGGTCTAGATTCAGGCAGAGTCCTAGGAGTGACCAGCCAGAGGAGGCAGAGATAGTTGACCAAAGATGACACTTATGTCTGTCATTTCAGCTCTGCCTGTCTAGTGTCCTACCTCCATAGTCCAGTCCAGGGATGACAGCCTGGGCTGGTCTTCTAGGCTATGCTCAGAGCAAAAGTAGCAAATCCTACTTTTGCTGGGCTAAGTGAAAGGACAAGAAGAATGCATCTTCCTTGGCCACTGGGAGAGAATGTGAGCTATATGAGAGAGTGAAAAATGTGGTGGTTTCCAGACACAACTCCTGTCCTTTGGTTCCTCTGGAACAGAGTGTCAGACACTGGAACCAAGGTTCTGGGAGACAGCATTTTCCAAAGTGTGGGTGGCGTTCAGCTGGTGGCATGCAAATTAAGAGGCACTCAGACCACAAGTTAAATAACACTGAATCATATCAGGAGAAAGTCATTCCCTTTTCAATTCTCTTTCAATCTAAATTTCATCAAAAAGAAAGTCTCAAATTAGTAATAACACATTTTTAGTACCTCTTTAATACCTACGTATGGAAAATGTTGAACTAAATGTTTACATTTAAAATGTAAAATGTTAGTTCCTTTGAACTAACCAACAGTGGTATAATGGTGGAGGGCTAGGGAGGCACTGAGGGGTAGTAGCAGGAGCCTGACCTTGGCCTCCAGTGGCCTGGGTTCCAGCTTGGGCTGGTGACAGCTTAGGGCTGGGTTCTCCCTGGCTAGTGCCCGAGCTGGTGCTGTCAGGGGAGCCGGTGCCTTCACTGAACTTCCGGAAGCAGGCTCGGCAGCAGCGTTCCTTTTTGCCACTGGGCTTGGTGGCGATGTAGTTGTTGCAGCAGTAGTAGCAGAAAAAGCGGCCACATATCCTGGGACGAAAGAAGCATGGCGCATGAGGACAACATGACGTGGGTCTGGAGTGATCTGCTCAGGACCAGGACTGGGCTCATCCTACTGCCTCTACCCCTGCTTTAGAGTGTGGCCTTAAGGTCCATTTCACAAGATTCCAATAAAGCCATTTTGGTGAGCTTAATGGGAGAAAGCTTTGTTTTCTAAGATCCCCAGAGCATGGAGAGGAAGTATGGCTGAACACCCCCTTTTTTAAAGATTTATTTATGCACACAAGAACTGGGATGCAGGCCAGGAAAGTGGGGGGTGAGAGGATTCACCAGAGACAGAGCGGGGAGCAGAACAGGCAGACAACAGAAATACACTGCTGAAGGGAACAGCAGGAGAGACAGGAGAGGTCTGCTGCATCATGTGGGTAGCTCCCTGGCTGGGGATCGAACTCACATCATCATGGTGACAGCACTGAAACTTAACCCCTAGGCCACCAGGGAGACCCTGCCTGACTTCCTTAAAATCAAATAGCAGTATGTTCTTCCTAGACAGTTAGGCATGGTGCCAATCATGGATTCCTCATGTGGAGCCGCTGGCTCTGGCCGGGTGTGGGTGCTGTCCCCTGAGCCACCTGCTGACCTGCAGTGGTGCCGCCGCACCATCCAGCTGAACTCCCGCTTGCAGTCCAGGCAATGGTTGACCTCCATGTCCCCAAGTCCCCTCTCCTCAGCACTGAGCTTCTGTTGGAATTCCAGGGCATCTGACTTTTGCCAAAGAGCATCCTTGTCCCTGGTACAAAGCCATGTTAGGAAAAGAGAAGAAAGAGTTCATGAAAACAACAGAACTATCCCTGTTTCATTACAAATGACTGACTCCAAATTTTCCAAGATAATAGAAGGGAAACTTATGTGTACCTTGGAGCTACCTCGCCCCCATGTTAGGTCCTTCTGTGACCCCATATTAGCCCTGGACTCAGCAGGAACCTCCCAATATTTAGGTCCTTGACTGAGTAAATCACAGAGCAGTCCCTTGATGTGAGTAAGACTGGCAATTGCAAAGAACTGCCAACAAGGGTCACACGCAACCCAGGGGTCTGGCCTCCGAGGGCTTAAGGGTACCATGCCGAAACAACCCCACAGCAGTCTGTGGCTGTGCACCCGAGGACCATGAAGGTACGGTCCACACAACTCTTAAATGTTCTTGGGCCCTCTCAGTTGCGATGGTTTGTTTCAAGTGAAAACCAATCAATGGAGAAGACCCAGGCTGGAAAGCTGATGGGATGTTAATCTTCTTTTCTCCTCAGAGATGGTACAGCCACTCCAGAAAGCAAGCCTGAAAGGACTGGGAGACTTTTCAGAAAGATCTGGCATGTCTGAACATGCCCGATGCCCCAGGGAAGATGTGCAGAGAAAGCTGCTAATGGTCACTGCTGCTAATGGTCACTCTCAGGGCTTATGGCTTTTTACATGGAAAGATTTGTTCTTTCCTCCAACCAGCATCCTGAGGGTTAATGTGGCCCCAAGTGGCAGCATCTCAATCTCTGATGACAAACACCAGAGCCATTTAGGGCTTGAAAGAAGTGGTTTCCATGACCAGCCAAACATGGATCTTTAAGCACAATGGCCAGAACATGGAATTGATTTTTCAAGGATGCTTGAAATGATCAGGAAGAAGGAAGACTCATTCTCTGACCAACATCGTCCTCCCAGCTAGTCCTCAGGTTGTCCTTTCTAACCCAAAGGTCAGGTACTAACACCCTAAGAATGTGGGAGTGCTGATAGGACCTGGGGTTTTCCTCAGTTTGGGAAACTGCCTGAGCTTAGAGGTCACAAATGTTCTGAGTTCCAAGTTTGTATATTGATGACATGAGGGCAAAGTTTTTAAGCTTCCAACTTAGTTATATTTTAGTATCACCATTTTGCAACCTCAATTAGAAGATCTAGGCATTGCTTATTCATAATGCTAGCATCACCAAGAGAAGTTTCATTGCATTATACGGACCTTGAAAGAAGACCAAAACCACACACCACTTTATGAAGGATTCTTGCCAAAATTTTGAACCTGAGTCTGAACAAGGCCTCTACTAGAGCGGTAGTTCTCAGTTCTGGTTCACTGATGGCTGGACCCCACTCCCAGAGATCCCAATTCAGTTGTTCTGGACATGGGTATTTTTTAATAGCCCCTCTAGTGATTCTCCTATGCAGCCAGGCTGAGGACCACTCTCCTTATTCATTATAGGAACTACTCCAGTTTTGCCTATCAATATATGGGAAATGAAAAGGTTAGAAGAACCTGTTTAATAACATTCCGGGGATACAATCAAAATTCAGGTTATGGGAACGCTAACAGATGAATGACTTGGCTTCTTCAACAGTAAATTGCAAAAAGTATAAAAAATAGAGAGAGCAATTGAAAAGGATGGCTGGGACAGACTAAAAGATTAATCACCATGCAATGTATGGATCTAATTTAGATTGTGACCTGAAAAAAATTATAAGGCAACTGGAAAAAATTGAAACTAACTAGATCTTTGATTATAGGAATTAAAAAGTTAATTCAAATATTGTAATGAGATTATGGCTGTTTAAGATGGTGACTCCTTGACTTGGAGAGGTATATGCTGAAATACCTGAGGATGAAATGATATGATGGCAGGCGGTGGAGTAGAGGAAATGGAGGCGGAAGAGAGACTCCGGCTGAAACAAGACTGGCTGTAAGCTGAAGAATAAAGCCGGAAGAGATGTACAGGGGTGCATTATGCTATTCTGTTTTTGTACATTTGAAAATTTTCATAAGAAAATGTTAAAACTTTTTGAAAGACTTGGCCACCATTTCAGGACAATTTCACATAAACATCTAGATTTCCACCTTCTCTTAAGAAGCAAGGTGATCTGGCAACTCTGGGCTCGACATGGTAACAACTGGCAGGGACAGAGCATGCCTTGGCCCTGGGTTCTCAGTGTGCCTTTCTGGTTCCGCTCACACACTGACATTAGCTGTCTGCAGGCAGTGGGGTTTGGGGGCCCCTGATAATGGGGAAAAGTGGGATGGAGAAGGAGAACAAGACTCAAGATAGAAGTGCAAAGGAATGGGAAACTCCTCTGATATCAAACATCATTTACTGTCACTTGTAGCTAAGCACACGGATTTTGAAAATAATTACAAAGCAGTATGAAACCACAAAACCAGCTGAGCTCTGGTGGGAACAGTGAAACCCATTCTTCAAAGGCTGGCAAGGGCCATGCAGCCCTTTTACGTGCGTGTGGGCCCTGAAGAACAGCATAGCAGACAAGGAGGACATTTCCCTTGATAAGTCCTTTCAAGAACAGCTGCGTTTCTTCAAAGAAAACCAAGTTTGGGGGAAGGCCCCAGACATCCGTTTGTCCCGACACTCACCTGAGCAGCTCTATTAGCCGTTCCTCCAGGTACTTCTTGGTTCTGTTGAGGTCATCCAGGTCAGCGAGCATCTTCTGGTCATTCTTCTCCCGGTTTGATACCTCATGGCAGAGTCTTTCATAATACTCTTGGATTTTTGTTTTGGCTTTTTCGAGTTCCTTCTGGGTCCTAATGGAGGAGTAGTTAGTTTTGCTGAATATCCACTATTTCCAGCTACCCCTGTGCCGTGGGACTGACCCTGGCCTCTAGCGTGGGGCCCCCTAGTTTTGGAGAAATCCCCTCACATCAACTCTTCATACACCACCTCCTGACACCAAATACAAGTGCTGTTCCAGGAGAGCAGGTGGCCCTCAGGTGGTCAAGCTCTCCAGGGTGAGGGAAACTGCATATTTGGCTCTTAGGCAGGGACTGAGGTGGCAAGAGGAGCCTGATGGGTCAGGCTCATGGCTAGTGATGGGGGATTTCCAAGAGGAAAAAGTATCAGGCTATGGCAGAGGTGTTACATCCTGGAGGCGACCACACTGTCTTTTATGTATCTTTTCGACTGCACGCATGGAGCATGGCCCTGGGGACACAGTAGGCACTCAATTTGCACTGCAAGGTATTCTACCTGACAGCCCCAAGGCCTAAAGAATCCTGTTTGGGATGCTCTGTTTGGGAGCTGAACCACTCTGTCTTTCTATCCTGGTCCACTCATTTTTAGCTCAATGCCCTAAGGTAGTGGCTTTCCAAGGATGAGCTCTACACCCCAAGGTCCACTGAGACATTCGTAAAACCTCTGTTATACAGGAGGCTCTGCAGAGATGAATTAAGTTCTATTTAACCAGCCCGGCCAGGTTATCAGGAGGTTATTTTTGAGACACTGTCAATTCAAATGATCTCATAGTTGGACATGCATGTGTGCAGACACACACACACACACACACACACACACTCCAATCCTGGACAGATGGATTCTGCAATGCTGAGCAGCTAAAACAACTGCTCAGAGATCTTACAAATAACCACTGTTACAGTATTAAAATACTTGGTGGTAAAAATACCACCAAGTTAGGAGGCTGGTTCTCTCTTTTTAAATTATGATGAAAACATGACCTGGCTAAAGGCAGTTGGGGCCCTACAGGACTCTAGAAGAGTCAGATAAGAAGAAATATATACCCAGATTACTGAACATCCAACATGCTATGGATTTTCCATGGAGCCTGGACCTGGGCCTAGAAGGTGGATGGTAGGAGGGGAGGGATGGGTAGTAAATTTAAAGCTTCAGGATTACCTGGCATGCCTCCCTTTGCTGAGGGCACACATGCCTCCCTTCTTCTGCTAAACCTGTTTTAATCAGGCACTGCAGGACTACCTTGTCCCCATCACCAGATGTTTGACTCATGCTCACAACTCCAAGTAGCACCCGAGCCTGAGGAGGAGGAGGTGTGGGGCAGCCAGGAGGCTGGCCACCAGATCAAAAGTCATGATGAAAGGGTGGCAGCATGATGCACCCTTCAGACAGCGCCAGAGTCCACAGGAAGACACACTCGTTCACTCACTCGATGAGCTTGGGAGAACCCCACACCTAATCCCGCTGCCTCACTTCTCAGAGGTAGTGAGGAAGAGTTCAAGTCAAACCTCCATGGTGGGGAAAACATGCACACACTCACCAGTCCACTAAAACAAAACAAAACAAAAACCCCAAGCTCTCTTTTCTTAGTATTTGTTAAGAAAAGAGATTCTGGAGCCAAATGGTTTGGGTTCCACTTTGTCTGACTTTGGGAAAGTGACTTAACTTCACTGAGTCCCATCTTCTTCACATTTAAAATGGGGAAAAATAATAATGCCATCTTCACAAGACTGTTGGGGGGATTAAATGAGGAAAGAGATGCAAGGTATTCAAAATAGTGCCAGCTCCATTTTAGGCATTATTAAAATGTTTGCTGTTAGTATTACCATTATGATACCCCAATTTTCATTTCATGTAGGTTTTTCTGACCCATGAAGTTTTTGAACTGAAACATGGTCTGCCAGAGATAAGGAAATGGATTTAGGAAAAAAGTTCTGCGGCTGCTGATAGGGCCTGTGGCCAGGTTCTCTGGGGCTTGCTTCTCACAGAAGCGCTTTCTGAGTGGTTTTGGTTGCAAAAGGATGTCTGGAACTTAATGTGAGTAACTGACTTTCTAAATGACTGCACCAAACACCCGCTTCCTGAAAACTATACTTCTGGCTCTGCAGGTACAAAGGGTGACTAACCTGTCCAGGTTTTTGCGCAGGGCTGCCCCTTCCTCATCCTTCTTCAGCACAGTGGCCTGACACTCTGAGAGGTGGTTGTTAGTGCAGCTCAGCTTCTCTCTCATATCTGCCTGCGCAGCCTGAACAGGACATCAAGGAGAGGACAGTCAACTTGCGAGAGCTGTGCAAGATGCTATAAAGGGAAGTTGTGCTCTGCCCGATCTGGCCGAGTCACCTCTAACTGGAGGGAGGGGCTTTCATTTTTTTGTTCTTAACTTCAAGGGGCCCAGAAACTCTGGGAGAGAGGCCCCCACCCTGGGAGTGGAAACTGCCAGTCTCCCAGCCTCAGATCAGGGCTCACACAGGGGTGCTCTTGACGCACAGCACAACCTACCTTCAGCTTCCCCACAGTCTCCTCAGCTGTCCTAAGCTGAAGGCCTTGTTGCTCAAGCTGGTCCCTGAGACTCCTGCACTCTTCACTGGAAGCCTGGCAAGGATGACAAACGGATTGTAAAAGTGGGGTCCTGGATGTGAGATTCCCACAGCTCTATAACCCCAAGTTGGTAATACAAGCCTGTCTCCTCTACCCCCAACTCAATAAACTTTGGGTTTCATTGGCAACAAAATACTTTCAAGTTTACGAAAAGACTTGGCTTGATCCCCAAATTAATTATTTAAATTTCTGCAGGAAAAAGGGGTCCAATGAGCCAAACAGGCAGATGATGGGATGGGAGGCACATCTGTGGAAATGCTGCAGTTGCCTAGGAGTGGAGGGTCAAGAGCAGTCTGAGATGCCAGCAGATAAATGACAAGCACTGAAAACTGGAGCGCCATGGACACCTGCCCGTGTCCTCCATAATCACGCTTAACTTTCTTTGTGCACTGTCACGGGCACATGGTAACTGCTCTTCTCGTCAGCTCCTTTATCTCAAGGGCTTTGTGAAAACTGAGTTTCCTGCCTCTGTGACCAGGCTAGCACCAAAAGGGACAGAGAACCCAGAGACAGCACTTGAGACAGTCAGGACCTGTTGGCATCCTGCAGAGATGTATGGAGACCTGGGCAGGTCTCTCAAACTCACTTGTGCAGAGGGGCTTGGTGAGTATATACACGAGTGTAAGAAAAATACTAGCTACGGGCCTCCTTCAAAGTGGGTGGCCGCCACCCAGCTCCTGCTAACTGATGTCTTGAGATAAATGAAAGTATAGGCTTTAAGATCTTGTGAGATTTCAAAAGAAGCCCTCAAACTGAATTTGTAAACATCCAGCTAAGTGTTGGCTGGAAATAAAAAAAAAAAAAATTCTGGGTGGGCACTGCGAACTTGTCTACAGAGATCCTGAATTTACACTGTGCACCTGACATGTCCCTGCAGTGGGAAGGATGGGATAAACTATACCAGGATGGGACCAGCCCCCCAGTCACACTTGGGCCCTCATGTGGCACATGGAGGAAGGTGCATCTTGCACTCTCATATACCCACCAGGCCTCAAGAGGCCAGACAGTCAAGGCCAGGATTACCTTAAGTCTGCTCTGGTAGTCCATGATCTCTGTGCTCAGCTGGAACTTGAGGGTGTCAAGGTCCTGGTGTGCAGACTCCAGGCTCTGGGCCTGCTGTTTGGCCTGGGCTAGCTGGGCCTGCAGGCCAGGCAGTGAGCAGGCTGCTTCCTCGGCCACCTTTAGCTTCTCCTGCAAGCTCTTCTTCTCTCGCTGCAGCCCTGCCATTTGGCTTTCTAAGACTTCTCGCTCCCTTGAGGTGGCCTCTTTGGTAGCCTGGAGCTCCTGGACAGTGCAGGCCAGCGTCCCCTCCAACTGCTGCTTCTCTGCAGTCAGTGCGCAGACCTGGATCCCGAGCTCAGCAGTGTCTGTGTTGGCCCGGTGGAGCTGCTCCTGCAGCTCAGCGTGTTCCACCTGGGCTTCCTGGGAGCTGCATTTCGCCTGGGAGAGCTCCTCACGCAGGGCCTGGAGCTCGTCCTCCCTCTGCTGGGCCTCATCAGCCCTCTCCTCCTGGAGCGCCCCTTCACGCTCTGAGCACTGCAGAAGCTCCTGGACATGGGCCCTGTTGAGGGCTTCGTTCTGCTCTTTCAGCTGCTGCACGAGGACCTTGTGGTCCCTCAGAGCTGCCTCAGTCACACTCAGCTGGCTCTGCACCTTCTCCTGGTCACCCAGTGCTGCCTGGAGCCTGGTCTGGAGGTCGAGCACCTTAGCCTGCAGTCGCTGAGCCTCCCCATGGTGGACTTCCACCTGCGCCTGAGACAGGGCCAGCTGGGTTGCTAGCTCGTGGGATGCGCTGTCTTGAGGTGGGTCGAGCACCTGTTGGCCCTTTTCTGCTGTGAGGGTCTCGATCAGCTGGGTCTGCTGGTGACACTGGCTCTCAAGCGCCCTGAGCTCCCCTTCCCGGGCCTCTGCTAGCTGCCGACACTGCTCCACCTGCTCCCGCAGCTGCTGGCACTCTGTCTCCTTGCTCTGCAGGGCGGCCTCCTTCTCTGCCACACGGGCCTTCATGGTCTCTTTGGCCTTCTTCACAGCCAGGAGGCTTGCCTCCATCTGGTCACCCATGTGCCGGATACTGGCCTGCTGTGACTCCAGGGAGGACAGGGAGCCCTGGATGGCTGCCTCCCGCTGCTGCAGCGCCTGGTATTCAGCCTGCAGGGCCTGCAGCTTGTCCTCCAGGAGCTGGTTGCGGCCAGTCACATTCTGCAGCTCCTTCTCCAGCTCCCTGTTGGCTTGCTGGAGCTTCTCCTCTTGGTCACTCCCTTGCATCTTAGTATCGTCCATCTGTCCCTCCTGCAGGCCCCTCTGCTCCTCCTCTGGCTTCTGGCAGGCATGTTGTAGAGTAGAGTTTAGGGGGTCCAGAACCTCACTCTTCCCACCTGCCGTGGGCAGATCTGGGCCTGGCTGCCCAGCAAGCCGCTCTAGAGTCCCCACCTTCTGACTGAGGTGGTCTTTGTCCTGGATGAGCTGCTTCTTCTGCTCCTCCAGGTCACTCACATGCTGGCTCACCTGTGCGAGCTGGGTCTCCAGGAGTTGCAGCTGCCGTGTCAGAGCCCTGGCCTCTTGCTCCAGCAGCTCCTTTTCCTCCCGCCGCTGCTGCTCTTGCCGCCTCATCTCTGCCAGCTCTTCCTCCAGTGAGCTCGAGTGGGCCTGTGACTCCTGTAGCTGTTGCTGGAGCTGAGCTGCCTCCTGCCCCTTCCCAGCTAGCTCCTCCTGGAGAGGGGCCATCTCCTTTACCAGACACTCCAAGCTAGCCCGGGCCTCCTCCTTCAGCTGTAGCTCCTTGGTCAGCTGTTCCAGCTGGGCACTCTGCTGCAGATGGAGCTCCCCGGCCTTGGTGCTCAGTCCTTCTAGGGGTTGAAGCTTGTGCCCCAGTTTCTGGACCTCCAGGGCTGAGTCACTGGGAATGAGGTCTTGCTGCTCCTTTGTGTCCAGTGCCATATCTAACTTCTGCTCAGCTGAGCCCAGCTGCTCTGGGACATTCGCTAACTGCCGGGTCTTCCTGCCCAGTGAATCCCGTGTGGCCTCAAGCTCCTGAGCCAGCGGCTGCAGCAGGGACTCCAGCCGCTGCAGGGTTGACTGGTAATCCTCCTCCCTCTCTGCTGCTCCCAGCTCCAGGGCCTGCAGGCACTTCTGCAGCTCCTTCACCGTGTTCTGTGCAACCTGGGAGACCTCCCATTGTTTCTGGAGTTCAGTCAGCATGGAAGTGAGGCGTGCGTTGTCCTCAGAGGCAGCACGAACCCTCTCCTTTTCCATCTGCAGCTGCTCTCCCTGCAAGCTGACAGTTGCCCTCAGCTCCTTGTTCTCTCTGTCCAGCTGCTGCATCTGCTCCTGCAGATGCTTCTCCCGCACCTCCAACTGGTCCAGCTCCAGACGCATCTCGTCAAAGCCCTCCAGCGCCTCATTATTTAAGGGACTGTTCAGGTCAAAGCTGGAGGCCATCTCCTGAGTCTGGTGAGGGAAAACCAGTGGTTTGGAGATGAAGCTACATGGCAGCCTGGACAAACTATAGAGTTCATCTATTTTCTATTCTTAATGCTTCTTACATTGATCAGTTTTTTTGTTTTGCTGATTTAGTGTTCTTCCCCACAAAGCTATATATACACCTATGACACACTCACATTTCTTATAAAACTAACCTTCCCCAGTAAATTTACTGAGCACTTATCCAAGTCAAGCCCTGAAGCCCTGGACATGAGCGCCCTCCTCAGCCCCTACAACCACTTTAGGAGCTGGAATGATTTTAGGGTCCTCATTTTATGAATGAGTGCACTGAAGACTTCAAGAGTGCAAGCCACCTCCCTGGGGTCACACAGCTGAGTGGAGACAGACAGGATTTCGCCACCATGATAAGCTGATTTGTTTTTAAATACGTGAAAAGCTTTTAAAAGAATTTAGTTTTTAGAAGGCTAAAATTCTATTTGATGTAAGGATATGGACTCTAGGAACAATTGCTGTCACTGAGGGGCTACCCTGCTCTGGCTGGAAGAGGTGCTGAAAACACTGCCCTGAGTTGCTGCCCTGAGCCTTCTCGACACTACAGTCAGGAAATCCCTGGCCTTTCTGCCATTACCTGCAGGTAGCTGCTCACCAGACTGCTCATGCTGGAGCTCCGGCTGGGGGGTTTCCACATGTAGGCAGAGGGGCCGCCTGCCATTGTCCTCCTGTGAAGCCACAGAACAGACATGCCTGTATCATAGCAGGAAATACACTGGCATAACCACTCAGGGAGATGTTGGTGGCCACCTGCTAACCAAGTGGAAGGGGACAAAGACCCTCCCAGCAAGAAGGCAAGACCCAACAGTTTCTACCAAAGAGCACATTTATGTTGGTCGGAGCAGATGGACACTAATGCAAAGTTTAAACACCACGACTTTCCTCCTGCTGCCAAAAGAAAAAAGAAAAAAAAAAAAAAACTGACATAACATTTCCCAAATTTTGGTTTAAGCTTCCTTGAGCTTTTGGTGCCTGTCTAAGTGAGGCTCAATCTGGTCAATAAAGGTGGCACGGTGCTTAGGAGCTCCCGGTCACCACTGGTTATTAGACACACGGGATGTGGCTGGAAGACCTGCTTCCCACTCATGTGACTGGCGGCACAGATGTGGAGCATGTCGCTCACTGCAGACAGCCTGCTTGGCAGCACTGGTCTAAACACCCAGGCTTCTCTGACCATTCTCCTTTAGTAGGAACATTGCAAAGCAAACAAATTTTCACTAAACCAGAATCTTTTCCTTAAATTAGAATTGTGTCAATTGAAAACTTGTTCATCTTTACCAGCAAGCAAATTCTTAGTATCTACTCTAAAGATGGCCTTGTGTTTGCAAAAAAGAGACAGGGTGAAATTCCAGGCAGCACTGGTAGAACAAAAGAAACCACCTAAGGGAACCAGATATATTGTGATTTAATCCCACAACAGAATATTCTACACCCTTGGGTTGGTGATCTTTTTCTTGTAATGGTAGTAAAATTTTGGGCTTCCTCTCTTAGGTGTTTGTCACAACAACTAAGCTCTGAGACTGCTGCATGAAAATAGCCGAGAGCAGTTTGTAAAAGAGCGGGTGAAGCTGTGTCACACACAGCCCCAAGGGCTATGGTTTGCCAGCCCTACTCTCCATCTCTGTGAGTCCATGTGATAACACAGATAAAAATCTCAAAAATAATGTGGGAGAATAAAAGCATGTTGCAAAAGGATAACTATCTCTTAATTCAACATCCACAAATTTAAATGTATACACAAAATTAAAAAATATTCAGATGCACATGCAGTAAAACAAAAATATTTGACAATAATGCATCAAGTACAGGGCTGTAATTACTTCTAGTAAGGGGGGAGAGGGAGAAGGATGGCAGTAGGGTGAGGTTTTACTTGGATTTATATTTTATTTCTTAAAAAAAAAGAAAGTTAGACAAAACAAAAAACCCACCACAAGAATAACTTGAACTAACCAAATATGAGACAAGTTTCAAAATAAGTAATCACGCAGACAGAATACTATCACTGAATCAATACTAACATCAATTAATAAACAAACAAGGAATAAAGAAAAGATCTTCTATATAATACAATGACAACTACTAGTGAAGAAGGAATAATGTGGATTTAGAAAATCACTTTGGCAACAAAGACATTAGTCATTGATTCAGGCAAGAAAGAAGATAATAACTTAATCTCAAGTATCTTCTTCCCATAAGATACATCTTAGTTACAAAGGTCTCTTTTCAAAAGGCTTGGCAAACACCACCTTAACCAAACGACCTCAGTTAACCTTGCTGGAGGTGACACAGATGAACACCACCACGTGTCCCTGGATAGGACTGGGTTGAGGAAGACACAGCATGTACGTCTGCCTCACAGCAATGCTGACCTGAAGCTAGTAATAAGGAAACACTAGATGAACTCAACCTAAGGAACATCTTATAAAATAACTGGCCTGTACTAAGAAAATAACTGTTCCAAATTAAGAGGACCAGAGACACATGTCGATGACAACATTAAATCCAATTAACAGTTTCCTGATTGTATCCTGGATTATAAAAGATTTTTATGGGATAGCTCTTAAAATTTGCATAAAGTCTATAGATTAGACAGCAATATTGACTGTATCAACGTTAATTTCCTGATTTTACTAATTGTAGTGAGGTTATGTAAGAGGATGTCCTTAATTTTAAGACATGCATAATGAAATACTTAGGTGTTTTAACTGTAACATATTCTCAAATGGCTTAGAAAATACACCAACATATACACAGAGAAAGAATGACAAAAGAGTTGTAGTGAAATATTGATGACTAGAGAGCCGACGTGAAGAATAGATGAGTACTATTTTTTGCAACATTTTTGTAATTCTGAAATGATTTCGAAATTAAAAGTTTTTAAAAGGACATGTGAAGTAAGTATGATAAAATGTTGGCTATTAAATCCTGGTGGTTGGCCTATGGCTTGTCATTCTGTTCAGTACGTCTCTCTACATAGGAAATATATCTTAATAAAAAATATGAACATTGAAATTAAAACCACTTTCTCCAAGAAAGCAAGACAAAACAAAGAACACTAGACTGTAGTTTAACTTGAGTCTGGTGCCCTGACACTGCTGCCTACTAGCTGTGTGTCTTTGAGCAAACCCCGCCGCTTTGAGAGCAGGCCTGCTCTGCCTCTCCCTCCTGGGATGGGCGTGAGGCTCCAGCTGCATGGCATACAAATGCCACAGTGGTGCAAGAAATGAAAATACTGCAACCCTTCCAGTAGCCCTTATGTGGATGTGCTCTAGCTTTTCTTCCTCTTACTCCAGGAAGGCCTCCATGATAACTCTGTAAGAACACAAATGGGAAAAAGCCCACTTGCTCCTCCCCCCATGCCCACACCAAGACCCTGAATACACTTAAAAAAATCTTTTTGTATATGCATTTCCACTGACTTGGACCACCTGGCCAGTTAGGTTAGTTTAAGGTTGGAGCCGTCAGAGGTTATCATTAGTCATGATTCAATAAAGTCTATAATATTAGCAGACGTAAAAGTTATAATGCTTTACTCAATTTACTGAGCAAGCAAAATTGCCTTAAGTGGAAACCTCAATCATCTCTATCCCCTATCTTTTATTTATTTATTTATTTATTTATTTTTTCTCCCCTATCTTTTTTTTTTTAAAGATTTATTTATTTATTTATTTATACAAGCACTGAGTACAGTCAGAAGCGCAGGAGGGTGAGAGAATTCACCAGAGCCAGAGCAGGGAACAGAACATGCAGACTGACGAAATACACTGCTGAGGGGAGCAGTGGGCACTGCAGGAGAGGTCTGTGCGCCATGTAGGACCCTCGCCGGTGGCCGGGGATTGAACCGGCACTGCAGAGGCTGCGGGCAGCTTTGCAGCCCAGCGCTCAACTGCTGCACCATCAGGGGAGGCCCTATCCCCTATCTTTTAAACCAAGCAATTCTTCAAAGTACCTGGCAAAGGTTGGCCAGGCAGCATCCAAGTCGTAGCCCCTTGACGCCAGGTCAAATTGGACATCAGTCAGCTCATAGAGTTGGCCCACAATGTCAGAGCTCTGTTTTGGCTTCAGAAAAGGGCTTCTTGCATAGTACCAGTCACTGCAGAAATACATAAAAAGGTATTAATTACAAGGGTAAATAAGATAAGGAAAGAATGAATTCAGCCAGTCCTCCCCGTATGGCTCTGCCTCATTCTAACTCAGGTTACTAAATTAATTAAAGACATACACCAATCTCTTTTTCACTGTTGAAGTCATAACTCTCACACAAGTGTACTCTTCTTCAAGGAAATGACTGAAATGAACTAGATACTTACTTATTCATTATTATTTATATGGTTTCTAATTCCCAAAGGGAAGTGAGAGACCTTAAATCTCAATACCTTGCCAAGAAAGGCAGATGAAGTTTGGAAAGTAACACTTCCTTTTTGAAAGACAACTTAATCTTCTGCTCCTTTTAGAGAATTCACTCAATAGAAGACATTGAACTCACTATTTTTTCTGTGCAGACACCCATTTAAAAGGCAAAGAATGAAGAGTTGCACTTCAAGGCAATGGTTGTCACATTTCACATGTAAGATTTAAAAATGAAAATGAAAATGCTGATGAGATTAAAGAGCAATTTGGCTGATATCTGTGAGGTGTGATACATTGGAAGTCAGGCTCTTAGGATGGTTTCCACACATCACCTACAACAAAATAATCTTCAAATAAAATGTACGAAGGTTCTCAAATCATGCAAACTCACAAATGTTACGTTCATGAGAAATACATCTTTATGCAAATCAATCTTACATGTCACAAAATGAAATAAAATATTTTTCCCCTGGAGTGTTTTTTAAATACAGAAGTGATTCATTTGATCAACTCAAAAAACAGTCCCTAGGAAGAAGGGAGGCAGAGCTGGAAAAGGGGTGCAGGACAACACAGAGAGGTTTAGCTGATAGCTACCAGGGCCACAGCTCCTTATCTGAGCTCTACTCTCCCCCTGATATGCCTCCTCCACCCTGCCCAGGCTCCAGCACTCACAGGCAAAGGCTGATCACAGGGACAATGTGGGCGCCCCTGGAGCTCCAATCTAGTTGCCATTCCGTCTCCATGGAGGCCAGACACACCCAGCAGATGTTGACGTGGGGGGATGGGGTCTCTGGTGAAGCCCCAGGCTCAGTCACATAAAAAACCCACATGTGACTCTACTGAGGCCAAGTGTGCAACTCACTGGTCCAGAGAGCCAGGAGAGTATGTCCATTAATGCCAGGACCAAGGCCATGCCATCCACCAGGGGAAACTACATAGCATTACCAGTCAAGAGACCTGTATCCAAGTTCCTAATCTAGGACTTAGAATTGATGGCGCCTAAAGAAGGGCATTTTAGCCCCTGAGAGCCTCATTTTCTTCACTTATAAAAACTCAGTGCTACCTGACCCACACACATCAAAGGCTGTGGTAGGAAGAAGTAGAAGAGGATGACAGATGTGGAAGGAGTTTTCTTACGCCAGGGTGTCACACAAACAGGCATTGCTCCTGCAGTTGTCATTATTATTAATGAGGGGACACTAGTTCATTCTTGAATGGTATGGGGTAAGCCCCAGAACCGTCACAGCCTTACCTGGTCACTTTGGCATTCATGAAGCACTGCTGTAAGGTATCTGCCAACCTCTGGTGTACCAAGGAATAGCGAATAAATGCTCTTCCTTTTCCCAGAGATGTCCGGAGCTGGAAAAAGTAGATCATATAGATATGAAGAGCTGTTATCTTAACTCAACTATAGACTGGCCTCACGGATGGCTTCCACAGAGAAGAAAGAGTCACCCAATTCTACCTTACTCAGTGGCTTTACCCATGTCCCTCAAAGGACAGAAAACAATGCTAATGTCACCCCAGAGAAGGAGGCCTTCTTGTGAGTGGACTTCTTGTAGGCCTCCATCTGAGAATAATCTGTTGACTCCAGCAAACATGACAAGGAGGACATTTTCATGAGATGCTCTCAAAAATCTCTGGGTTCTCCTGCTCATGGATTGGAAGAATTAACATTATCAAAATGGCCATCCCACCAAAAGCAATTTACAGATTCAATGCTATTCCAATAAAAATTTCAATGACATTCTTCAAAGAAATAGAACAATTATTGATGAAATTCATATGGAATCACCAAAAACCCCAAATAGCCAAAGCTCTCCTGAAAAAAAAAAAAAGAAGAGAATGGAGGCATCACACTCCCAGACTTCAAACTATACTACAAAGCCATAATCATCAAAACTGCATGGTACTGGAACAAGAACAGACACACAGACCAATGGAACCAAATAGAAAATCCAGAAATAAACCCACAGATTTATGGACAACCAGTATTTGACAAAGGAGCAAAGAATATGCACTGGAGCAAAGAAAGTTTGTTCAATAAATGGTGCTGGGAAAACTGGGTCGCTACATGCAAAAGAATGAAGCTTGACCACTACCTCACATCATGCACAAAAACCAACTCAAAATGGATTAAAGAACTAGACATAAGACCTGAAACCATAAAATATATAGAAGGAAATATAGGCAAAACACTACGTGACATGCACCTTAAAGACATCTTTACAGACACATCACCCAAAGCAGTGATAGTGAAAGCAAAGATAAATAGCTGGGACTACATCAAATTAAAGAGATTCTGCACAGCAAAAGTGACAATAACCAAAACAAGGAGAAACCCCACCGACTGGGAGAACATTTTTGCACACAACACTAATGATAAAGGACTGATGACAAAAATCTACAAGAGCTGATGAGACTCAACAAAAACAAAGAAAATAATCCAGTCAAAAAATGAGAAGAGCAAAAAAGAAACTTCTCCAAAGAGGAAATGCAAATGGCCAACAGGCATATGAAAAAATGTTCAACATCACTTGTCATCAGGGAAATGCAAATCAAAACTACCATGAGATACCATCTTACACCAGTGAGAATGGCACATATTAAAAACACTAGCAACAACAAATGTTGGCGAGGTTGTGGAGAAAAAGGAACTCTCCTGCACTGCTGGTGGGAGTGCACTATGGAGAGCTGTGTGGAGATTTCTTGACCTACTAAAGATAGAGCTTCCATATGATCCAGCAATTCCACTCCTAGGTATTTACCCAAATGACACAGAAACAGTAATTCCAAAGGGTACGTGCATGCCTATGTTTATAGCAGCACTATTTACAATAGCTAAGCTATGGAAACAACCCAAATGCCCCAAAATAGATGACTGGATCAAGAAGATGTGGTACATATACACCATGGAATATTACTCAGCAATCAAAAAAGATAAACACATGCAGTTTGCAGCAACATGGGTGGAGCTTCAAGGGATCATGCTCAGCGAAATAAGTCAGAAAGAAAAAGAAAAATACCAGATGGTCTCACTCATAGCAGGAATTTAGGAAACCTAATTAAGGGACCAGGAAAAAGACTAATTAATACAAAGTAAAAATCAAAATCAACAAGCAACGATTAACCAGAGACACTAAAGGGAAGGGGGGAAGAGAAAGGATTAGGGTCAAAATAAGGGGGGTGGTGCAATTGTATGGGGAATATAACCAAAATGAAAAATTCATACATTGTGCAAAAATGACAAATGATGTAAGAATTATATAAAATAAAATATTAAAAAAAAAAATCTCTGGGTTCTACCATTATGTAATTCTCCCTCCTCAGAGTCATCATAATCTCTGGGTTGGAGTCAGAAAGGAAACTATTTGACTTATTTTGGACTAATTAGACTAACACTTGAAGGTAAACAAAGGCCTCCTCACAGACCAGAGGAGCAGGAGATGGTTTCAGTTTGAGTAACATCTGGGCTCTTTTTTTTTTTTTTAAGATTTATTTATTTATACAAGAACCCGGGTACAGGCCAGATGTGCAGGAGGGCAAGAGCATTCACCAGAGACAGAGCGGAGAGCAGAACAGGCAGACCGACCAAAATACAATGCTGAGGGGAGCAGCGGGTGAGACAGGAGAGGTCTGCCGTGCCATGTGGGTTGCTCCGCAGCAGGCGGGGATTGAACTGGCACTGCAGAGGCTGTGGACAGCTCCACAGCGCTGCACTCAACCACTGCCTGTGCCACCAGGGAGGCCCTGGGCTCATTTTTAAGGTGTTGGGAGAATAGGTAGAGGGGAAGAGGTCTAAAGGGTTTGGCTGGAGCCCTGTGGAAGGGAGGAGAAAGAGGAGGGCAAGGCAGATGTGTGCAAGGGGCACTTTAAAGAAGTTTGGATGGATGTTTAATGCTCTCCTTTGCGTCCCTGTGAAACTATCAGTAAATGGTTGTCAATGCTTTACTGGTTGGATTTGTTTCTTTTCTAGCATGCCACTCACTGCATTCAGTCAGGTGCCCAGTGGTAAGAGGAGGAGTGGGCTAGTCATGCTGAGGTAATGAAAGAATGGACATGATTCTGTTTCAGGAAGTCTGAGGTGGTGGCACAGGAGGGTTCAGTTACCGGCCTGTCTTTGAAACCTCTTCCCATAGTGCCAAAACATGGCTTCTAAAGAGGCTTCTGGAAACCTTTCGAGATGGAGGTGGGAAATGCTGGCGAGAGATTATGCCAAAACAGACTTCTACCAGCTGTGGGCACACAGCTACCAAGCTGGACAGAATAAAAAAGACAGTCACAGAAGTCACCCAAGACCAGTTTGTAAATCCTCATGTTTCTTAAGCTCAATATAAGCAGGTACAAACTCAAACCTGCTCAGCCCGCTAAACGCACCTGTTCTATCAGGCTGTAGCCTGAGCAGGTAAGCAAAGACCCATGTTCTCAATGTGACCTCAAAGGTCAGAAATGTTTATGTTGTGGTGGGGGGAAGGGGCAGCGATGGGTTAGCCAAAAGATGGTAAGAAATGCCCCTACTCTTAAGACTGGATTAAGACAGGAAATATGTGGTATGGTTGCAAGCACTGAAACATTTATGATGGCATAAACATCCTGATACAGAAAACCTTTGGGTTAGAGCTGTATGTCCTATTATTGCTGATTCAATTAAATACCACAATATGAAATAACTTTGAAAAATAAAAAGGTGTGAAACCCCATGAACTATACAGGCTATAAGACATTTCTCCAAGTAAGTTTTTGGTAATGAGGTTACTGGCTTTACACAAACCACGATGGCATGTCTGCAGATAGTTGATCTTGAGATGCCCAGGTAGAGTCTTGATATGTATTTTAAAAGGTATTTTTAAACATCCTTTGGGGAAAAGAACAGTAGTTCCTTCTTACTATGAGTAACAATACTGCACAGCTTGTTTTGTCTGTATTTTTTGAGATGGTAGGTCCGCTTTCATTACCTAATTCCTTAATATTTTAAGCATCTAAAGCATCATATATGTTCCAATGGGAAGTCATTTTAGCCCATATGGCTGCTTCTTATCCACTGACTTTTGCCTTCTTGCTTGTTGGCTTGGACGCCACTGAATTGTTAGTTACCCTACCACACAGCAGCCCATTCAGCCTTGTGATGTTCTCAGTCACTCCACCAAGAAGCACCAGAGAGCAGAGTCTTCAACAGAGATGAACTGGACCCTATGGGAAGGGGAGTCTGGACCTGTCACCAAGAAACCAACTGTATTTGTGCAAGCAGAGTATGTGCTTTTTGCTTATAGAAATCAGTTTCCCTGACCTTGATTGTCTAAAAATCTAACTGCATTATAAGAAAAGAAGAGGAAACTAGACAACAAGAAGTATATATTTCATAATCCTGGGAAATGAGGATTAAAACGAAATTTATTTCCAGATTTTGGCTGTCAAAAAGGCATGAAGTTAAAGACATTACTTGGAGGGACGAGGAGGAGGGAAGAGGAGAAGGTGACCTAGGTTTATGGAGAGAAGGGCAACAATGAGGACCATCCCCAGATTTATGATGCATTAAAACATCAAGGACCTGAGTGTCCCACCATGCAAGATCTCACAAGACCTACATTTGCTGCATGGATGGTAAAGAAATTTGCAAAAGAAACACTTCAGAGTCAGGCTCTTTGCTTTCTCGGATGTCAGATGGTGTAGCTGGTGGAAAATACCAGGCCCTCAATGTCGGTGTCAGAACATTAAAAGCAGTCAGAACATTAAAGAAGAAACCATCATTCTCTGTAAGAAGAAACCCATCCACTGCCGCTGGCACAGGTGGGGGGGACTCCTGGAGCATGTGACTCTGGCCTTTGTGGGACGCCAGCCGAGCAGCACGCCTACTGATGAGATAGTGAAAATGTGCAAATCCTTTAGGACTTCTGTCCATATCTAGGGGTTTACTTGCTCCCTAATAGGTAAAATTCTTCACTCCCAGATGACTAGGCTGATAAGAAAAAGAGATTCATGGGTGGGAGGAGTGATAGAGACAGTGTGTGTGTGTTGTTACACAGTGTTATGAAACAGCAAAGTCATGGCATCCACTCAAGGGGCTCAGAACTGAATACAGGAGTTTGTTTAGGATGCTGGCATTTTAAGAAACGTCTCCTGAGATCCCACATCACTCTCTTCATTTCAAATGCAAGCTTCCTGCACCAACTAAAGGGAAAGCAGCCTAGCAGACTCTGGAATTTTATCTAAGAAACTGATCTTTCTTACAAAGTAGAAGCATCCTGTGCTGCACACATCCAGGAGCACCATGAGCAGGCCACGGGGAACAACCTATCCTGTCAGGCAGCGTGTGGGTTGTGGCCTAACACACAGTCAGATCGAACCGCTCCTCAGATCATGTGCCTGAGCTCGATTCACAGCAACAGTGGACACTGCTGGACTAGACTCCTTCACTTCTCCACCATCTGTACACCCTCACTTCCTCCCTTCCTTCCTTCCTCTGGCTGCCAGAGATGCTTTAAAGGCAGTTGAGAGGAAGATATGAGGTTGATGGTTATCTCACCTACCTCTGAAATCGACTTGACGAATCGGATTCCATCGTTGGCTCCTTTCTCCTTGGCCAGGCAGGCACAGAAGTAATCCCAGTAGTCCTTCTTGGTGCCCAGCAGAGTGGCCTTCTCCTTCTGATCAAACTAGTCCGGGAAAGGGACAGAGAGAAGAACACTGCTGTTCATTCATTCTTTTCAATGATATGAACAATGGCTTCTTAATTGCCCAGCAAGGCCCTTTACTGGCATTATTTTTATTTATTGACAAATGAGGGTGTTTTGATCTCTAAATTACAGGTGAGGAAACTGAATCTAGGAGTTTACTGGCTTACGGTCATACAACTGGTGAGATTTAGGAATAGCAGCTTCCCAAAAAGATTATCCCTTGAAGGGATCTCTGTGGCTAGAGTTGGGTGGAAGGCCACCAAAGTTGCTATTAACACATTAAAAACATACAAATGAAAGTCTTAAGGGCAACATAGAGAGTGTTAACTTTCTCAACTTAGGGAAATGAGTTATGATATTTTATCCTACTTACTCAAGTTTCAGTATTGTTTTAATACACAGGCAATAAACTCAAATTAAGTGTCATCTATGAGTGAAGTCAAATTTGAAACCAAATTGGTCTAATAGAAAAAAAATCCACAGGTATTTTTACAATGTAAAGCTGAAAAGCAGTTCAACAGGCATATAAAGGTTGAGTCTGTCAACACACTGGTGGTATCTCCTCCATTGGGCTCACATCCTATATGCTTTGTGCTGGGATGTGATGCTGCAAACTAACGATGTTCAAATTTATACTGCAATATCTTTCTATAGCATAACTTTTGACAGCATTTTTCCTTCTATGCACATAGTAGATATACATATCTGCACACATTGTTATTAAGAAATAGGAATAACCACCCCCCAAAAAGAAAAGAAAAATTAAAATGCCTAATACTGGCACCCAAAGATAACATCTCATAACAAGTTGACATGTTAGTCCATTTCCTTCCTGTCTATTGTAGTTGCCTGTATTTATCCACACCTGCAGAGTTCTCTAGCTCTGTGCTTGACTCAAGAAGACATAAGCATTACCCTGCTTATGAACCTCTTTTTTTTTTTTTTAAAGATTGATTTATTTATTTATACAAGCACTGGGTACAGTCAGAAGCGCGGGAGGGTGAGAGAATTCACCAGAGCCAGAGTGGGGAGCAGAACAGGCAGAAGGACCGAAGTACACTGCTGAGGGGAGCAGCGGGCATCAGGAGAGGTCTGCGCGCCATGTGGGACCCTCGCCCGGTGGCCGGGGATCGAATCGGCATTGCAGAAGCTGCGGGCAGCTTTGCAACCCCGCGCTCAACTGCTGCACCACCAGGGAGGCCCCTGCTTATGAACCTCTTAAAAGAAACTTTCTGGGCTGACTCCAGAGATATGCATCTGGCAGGCCAGGAATACATTCCTAACATATCCACAGTGATGCTGATGCTGCTAGTCTATGCACCATATTTAGAGCAGTCAGGCTCTAAAACAGGCTTTGGATAATTATCAGCGAGCCCACACAATCTTGGAAAAATGTATAATTGATGTGTAGACATATCCATATCTGTCTGGAGATTCCATAGGGCATAACTACCCCAAAGTTAGGATTCCGGCTAAGTGAGCTTGTGACCTGTCTTAGGATGAAGTGAACTCAAAAGAATGTTCTTGATTCCCAAAGCCATTGTAAGGGACAACAGCCCAAATCCCCAGAGGACTGTACTTGGAGACTTGAGCTTCTGCTGGGGACTGCTCTGACCTTCAGTCTAACCAGAGGGCTTAGTGGCCTGGATGTGGTTTTCTGTATCACATCCTGAATGCTAATGAGTCACCGTGAGGGAAACGAGAGACAACAGGGCAAATGTAAACAGTTTACAGGAATAACTTACTTGAAGGAGATACTCAAGTTTGTAAGAAAACTTATGCAAGCTGGTGCTGTCATCTGTGATGGGTTCCCCAGCTTCCTTAAATTCTCTTCTTAGTTCTGTCACAGCATCTTTAAGACAACAAACAGGCACAGGTAACAGATGGAGACTACCCTCAAAGAGAGAAGCAGAGCAACCTGGGAAGCATGAGGAGTACATGGTTAACGACAACAAAGACCCTCAGCAATGTAAAGTTGTAGGTGCACCACGTGATGTAAGTTCACAGTGGGCGGTATGGAAAACCCTTAGAGCACACGATAACTTTACCACAGCTCACGGATGGGCGCAGTTTTGGTCACTCCTCCATGCCCAGCAGGTAGGCCTTGTTATTCGCACACACTATTTTGTGGATGGATCATACTGACTTAATACTGACTTCTAGAAAGCGTTACCCTTTATTCTGGTCATGTTTCTTGTTGTTCTTCACTCTCACCCTACTGCTCAGTAGAGGTAAGTCCAGTTTCAAGAAGACCCACAAGGTGCAAAATTATAACAATTCCAAGAAAGACAACAATACAATACCTGCTTCTGTTAACTAAGTGCCTATCAGGGGCCAGGCCTCTGCATGTCTTTCTTATTCAATACAGCATTATGAGGCAGGATTTGCCTTATTTTAACAAAGCTAAGATTTTAATAAGTTATTTTAAGATGGTCACAATTTTAGAGCTATTAAAATATGAAAAAAATGCAAGTGAAGTCTGTTATTGTCACCCCATTTTACAAATAAGGAACTCACACTGAGGTCAACACACTTGGTCAAAGACTGTGGGTGTCAAACAGCCAGAATGAGAACCTTGATTTTTTCAAGGGCTTTCTGACGCCAAAGTGATCTCTTAAGTTCTATGATGACTTATCTCTGTTTGCAAGAAAGGGGAAAAAGCCGCCTTTGACTCTTACTCAGGGTATCTGCTGTGGACTAGAGGGGCTGCTAAAAGTTGGTCTTGGATAATTGGAAAAATATTTCCAGCTGAGATGGAACATGCTGGACAAAACATCTTCTCTGACAATCCTTTGAGAGAAAGAAAGGTGGAAGGTAGGGGGAGAAAAACTGAAGAGGAGCCCCAAGCTCTCCTCTTAGGCACCATGGTTAGAGAGCAGATCGGCCCTGCACTGAAGCTGAGCTCTGGCCAAAATTTAATCAACACCGACCCTTCGGGCAAAGGTCAACAAATAGGGAAAAGAGGTTCTTGGGACTGATTCTTCCAACAAGTGACTGCTGTTGGCTGGCACCAAGAGGCGGGAAGGACAATCAGCCTTCCTCCTTTACCTCGGGCTGGGTAAGTGTTCACAACATGATCTGGGATCTCTTTGACATTTTGAAAGGAGTCTTTGCATATGAAATAGGAAAATTTTCAACTCTAATCTCTGAGAATCCAAATGTATTACTTATGAATAAGCTTAGCTTTCCATGATTAGGTATTTTCTTCTCCCAACAATCTTGAGAGGTGGGTGTTATCATCAAACCGAGCACATGAAGGAAACAACGACACTTGGAAGATGGAGGCACGTGTCCATCACCTTCCAGGGTTAACAGGCAGAGCCGGGAGCTGACCCCAAGCCTGCCTGACTCCAGAGCCCTCACGACTGCTGTCACCAGGAAGATCAGGGCTGTCCCACAGAGGTGTGAAGGCTGAGAACTGCACAAGGAACTCACCATCCACTCCACTCTCATAGCTGTATGCTTATTAAGAGTGTAACCAACAAAGGAAAGAAAGGGTCTGGAGAAAGTGCCAACTTGGAAGAATTCCCACCAAAGTGCTCTGTGGGCACAGCAGAGGCCATGCTGACAGCCTCAGATGACCATGTGCAGTTAGTACTTGGGGTACACGGGGGGCAACTGAACACATGCCCATGCTTGTCCTCCTCCCTGGATCAGCTCTACCTGCAGCTCCTCTCTTTCCTCTCTGTCTTCCTTCCCAGTAAGGACCTCTGGGCCCCAAGGTCATCTTTCAGATTCAGACACCAAAGTCTACAAAAGATGACTTATTCTGTGCGAAACCGCAGAAAGCTGGTGGCAGACTCAGATTTGCAGGGGCTGTCATTTTACTCCTCTGCCTCTGTGTGTGTCTAGTAATAATACTAATAATAATAATAATAAAAGCACCTAATATTCCAGCTGAAAGTAGACTGATGTAAAGAGCATAGACACTGGCACCATGACTTGATGTGTGAGCTTAGGGAAGTCACTTCCTCTCTGTGCCTGCCCCCATATCTGCAAAATGGGAAAAATAATGGCTCCCACCACACAGGACCAAATGTGAGTACTCTCTGGGTTACTATCCCCAAGACATGTGCATGGCAGTGCCTGACACATATGGAACACCGTGGAAATAATAGTTATTAGAAGTCCAAAGTACTATCTAATAGAAGATAAACCTGAGAAAGTGATTTTTAGCTTACTGAGTTGACCTTTAGAATAAGGACTCTACTGTGGCTGCCTCTGGCAAGATGGACCTTGGCAGGAGAGGCTGCAGGTGGCCATTACTCTGAAGCATCAGGAACCTGGGCCTTCAGTGTCAGCCAGAGTGTCACTGTGTCTCTGCGTTGCAGAGGAACAGTCACTTTCAGGCTGTGCCGCAGCAAATGCACTGGCACTCCAGAGGCTTTGAGACCAGCCAGGGGAATTATAGGAGATGGAAAACTTGCCAAAATTTTGACCCTTGAGAATCACCTGGAAGGGTGAACTCAGGTCCTAGGCTCTGCAGCCAGAGGAAAAATTGCCCCAAGGCTGCCACTTTTTGCTTGTACCCTCACTGCCTTTGTCCCGGGAGACAGGGCTACAGCCAGGCTTGGAACTGGAGTGTGTCGCAGGCAACAGGCCACCTGCCAGTCGGGACCAGGTGAGAGAGCAAAACAAGTAAGACGGGTTATCTCATCATCCTGCTGAGAGGGAGGGAAAATATTCCTTCCCAAATGAGCCAACTCAGTGCCCAAAGGCGCGTGATTCAGCCAAAGACTTAACAGGTAACTTGAAAACACACATACACGCAAACTGAAATTAGACCTGGACTCAGAAAGAGGTATTTGATTTTGTTTATAGAGTTGTTTTTCAATGTCCTGAGAGAAGGGCCCAGCAAGTTCTCTCAGCTGTACCAGGGAGGACACCTGATCCCAAATATTTCAACATGTGTCCCACGGGGTCCAATTACTCCCAGTGAGAATGAAAAATGAAAGGAATGGATTTTAACTGGCAACAGCAACAGCACAGCTACCACTCCATCAAAACCTAACCCAGCACGTCCTGCAGGCTAACCGTACCTTGCAAATCTCGGATGATTCTCTGGAGCTGGTTCTCCGCGCTGGAGGAAGCCATGGTGACTGGCTGCAGGCCGCCTTCCTTGACTGTGAGCCGTCTGCCTGGGTTCAGTCAACAGAGGTCAGACTCCATGGTGGCACCTGTGTGGGGGAGGAGGAGGCCATGGAGGAAACAGGCACTGACACAGTCAAGATAGCAAAGGAACACGGCCCTGGGCACAAAGTTGCCCTGCCTGGGCATTTTCTTTCAATGGGAAGGACCTGACCTTTCTGTGTGGTCCTCTGCTCTGTGGGCATACGCTGGCTGGCTCTGACACACTTATATTTAGACACAATGACCTGATTTGGGGCTTAAAAAGAAATAAATGTCCTTTTCTTCCTGAGCACTTCTCCTACTTCACTTTCTTAGGCAGGCCCGTCTCACTTTCCATCGTTACAAATGCCTCTCAATGGCTCCCTTCATTCCCCTATACCAAAGGCCAGAGAGTCCAGCCCACTTTCAGTCTGCTAAGCCTAAGGTGCTGGCTCCCACTAGACTCCTGGCTCCCCCACACCCAGCCTCACACCCACCCCAGGCTCCCTTCTCTGAGGAAGGGTCAGTCACCTCAGGGCGGGCAGCAGTGGGGCAAGAGGCTGAGGACACATACCCTCAAGGCTTCAGGATCAAGGAGAGCCTGGCTGGCCTCATGTGGAATGAGCTCGCTGGAGGGGAGTTCCGTGGCTTCCAGCCGCCCAGAGTCCAGTTCAGCCTGGGTGCAGACACAGCCTGGCCTGCCAGCCAGGGGCCTGCGTAGCCCCCGGTAACAGTCAAGGGACATGACTCTATTTTAAGCTCAGTTATGGCTAGTGAGGCTCAAGTCACCAGTCCTACTTGGGCAGCTGTTGAAGTAATTTAAGGACACAGTAGTGGCTGAAGACCAATAAAGATGAGGAGGTGTGAGCAGCACTAGAAGATGCATTTGGACTCCCGTGTCCTTTCAGAATCTATAATTTTTTCCTTAGACGTCCAGTGCCAAGTAATGTTTGGTGGGAACACAACAAGAATAAAGGTGGTGTAGTAGCAGCTGCCATACACGAGGGCCTCTTAGGTACTTTACACACAGGAACAATCACCCCAGTGAGGCAAATAACATATGAAGGAGAGACTGATACTCACAGCAGCCATGCAACTTGTCTATGGTCACGGCCAGCAAGGAGTGGACTCATAGCTTGAACCCTGGCCAGTCTGATTTCTAACCCTCTGGCTTTATAACTGAGTTGCTGTCACTACAGCAAATGATAGGAACTGCTAAACTCCAGGGTCTCCCAAATAATGAGCCATCATCACACTGAGTCTGTCTGACATGTGCTGGTCCTCACTCTTCCACTGCCATCTTACCTTTACTGCTTCAGGAGTCAAGGCAAGAAGATCCCAGAATAGAAATTGTCCCCGACCTCAAGCTCCTCCAAATGTGTGCATAAGCATTCCAGAGTCAGCCGGAGGTGAGCAGAGCGTCACAGGGCAGAGAGTCCTAGGTCTATTTTTAACTAACCAGTGCAGCTGTGACTCAGTGAAAAGAAGGCCCAACGAGGGCTTAGGAGGAAAGAGACAGGCACACACCTGGAACACACTCCCACAAATTCAAGACATGGAGTCCTGGAAGGCAGATTCGGGGGATCCACTGAGAACCCTTCAGCAAATGCTGGCACCCCACCCCTCACAAACACCAAATTGAGGGCAGGAATGGCTTATGAGAAGCCTGCTTCTTGCTCATCCCTGGGTGTCTTTCCAGTTCACCTGCTGAACACAGAGGCTGAGCAGGGACCAGCAGAGAAAGCCAGAGCCCATGCCTGGCCTGGCTACTGCAGGGGCTCTACTGCCCTCCAGACCGTCCTGACACTCCACCCCTCTGCCAAAGATCAAGGATCACTGTGGACACACAACTGCCCCAGCACCACACTCTGTCAAGTGCACTCTGTGTGCAGGCTGGGGATGCAAGGCCCAAAGGCACAGTTGTACCCCCTAGAGGAGATCACTACACTCCAGAAAATGAGACAGAAAAATACCCAGATATCTGAATACATGGAAGAGGTCCAAGCAGAGCGATGGGTGAGCAGCTTTGAGTACTCAGCAGTGAAAAGGCAGGAACACTGATATACACAACAAATGCCACATGCAAAGTGGCAGCAGCCAGACTGAAAAGGATACCCACTTTATGATTTCATCTGCATGATATTCTTGCAAAGGTAGAACACTGGGAGAGATATCAGATTGCCAGGGGTGGGGGTGAAGAGAGGGTTTAACTATAAAAGGGTATGAGGAAATTTGTGTGTGTGGGGAAATTTTGGGTTGTGGTGGAGGTTGCATGACTGTATATATTTGACAAATACTTATTTGTCAAAATTTGCATACTCTGAATTATATCTCAACAACAAAAGCTACACTATGATGAATTTTTAAAAGATGCAATGAGACCTAAGGAAGGGGAAATGAATTCTGCTTGGGGAAGGAAGAAGGTGTCAGACACTCTGTAATGGCAACTGGGTTGGACCAGGCCTGAAAAATGATTAAGAGTTCGTGAAGAAACCCAAAGAGGGAGAAGGGTCCAGCAACGGTGAAGCCTATTTCTTCACCCACATTCCTTTCACTAGACTGTTGTGAACGCAGCCTTGTAGCTTCTGGGAGAAATAAGTTGGGCGGAACATGTCTAATACCCCACAAGTCCTCAAACAGAGCCTACTCGGTCTGCATGCACACTTAAAATGCAGGGTAGGACACGCACATGAAGGAGAGGGCGGGGCTTGAGAAAGAAGCAACAGCAACAACAGACTCTGAGCAACTCCTCCAGGCATGCTGGCTGACCACACAAACTAAATAACTAGTTGGGATTCCTGGAAGCCAGGCCTCTCTGGAGTCCGACATGAGTGGAACAATGTCTGCAGAACAAACCTGGAGTCTTGGCATGAGTCTGAACACAGAATTGTGCTCCTTCAAGACTTCTTAGTGCCCTGGTGACGCTGCCATTGTGTCAGCCTGAACCCAGGAGGCCTTCCTGCCTGACCCTTGGTGTGCGCTCAGCTGATGCCAACTTCCCAGGTCACAGAGTGAGCTGTGCCGAGCTGCTGATTACACAAGGTGATTTTCCAAAGAGACCGTGTCACCACCAAGGTAATGAGCCCTAAGAAATCAGCTGCCGGGCCTGTAGGTCACAGTGGGCTTCCTCTCAATCCCACAGCTGTGGGTCACCACCTACAGGGCTTCCGGAAGTAAATCAGAACTTCTGTGAAGAACATGGTCACCACAGGGAGGCTATTTTCAGGGACTTAGAAAGGACCACTCTTAGCACTTTGCCCTCCTTCTCCCTCACTCAAGGTCATAATTAACAAACAAGACACGGACTGGGACTCAACTCTCTCCACACCACAGTCAACCTCCTTGTGTCACTAGATGAGCGAGTTCTGGGTTGAGGGATGGGCTATTTTTTACACTGCTGATAACTAGTCCTAACACCAACTGGGTGTCTTAAAATGAAATTCAATTCTGAAACTAAACTACCTGGAGTCAGCGCAGACCCCACAGATAAAGGACTCAGGTGACAAGACTGCCCCAGCTTCAGATATGAGCTCTAAATCCCAGGTTGTGCTTGTACTTGTGACCAACTGGCTATCCCCACTCAGGTTTGACAATTTCCTAGAATGCCTCACAAACCCTGGGCAAACATTTTACTATTACTGGTTTATTTTAAAGATACAACTGGGAAACAGTCAAATGGAAGCACTGCACAGAGCTGGGGTGGAGGGAGATGTCCAGACATTCCATGCCCTCAATGCTCCGCAACCTGCAACAGAAAGCTGCTGTGCAGAGTCTCTGTCAGTGAATGGAGGGGTCAGTACATGGGCTGCTCAGTCGCTGGCTCCAGTGATTACTTCCATCTTCAGCCCTTCTCTGCAATCCAGGTCAGCGGGAGTGGGGATGAAAGTTCCACCACAGTTGTTTCCACTGGCAACCAGCCCCGTAACTATCTATGTGACCAAGAGTCATGTTATTAGTGTAAACTTGGGTCTGACTGAAAGTGGGGTTGATTAACAAAAGATGCTCCTATCACCCCTGCCACTTAGGAAAATTCCAAGGATTTTAGAAGCTCTGAGTCAGAAACGAGGACAAAGGCCAACTGCCTATTTCACAGGAATCACAGACTTGTGGCCTGCACCAGCCAGATCCTGACCTCTGCAAACCTGTCTCCTAACCAAAGGACATTCAGAGAGCTTCTGTCCAAACCACCACATTGCTTCAGCACCAGGAGAAGGACTCCAGGACCCTACAATTCGCAAGACCCCAATGAGCCTCAAAGAGCCCAAGGTCCTAATTGTGTGACCTGTGAAATCCTGCGTAACTGTCTCTGCCATGCTCTTTCAAACACCGGGGACATTCATCTTTTGAAATTTGGGGAACGTTAGTTCCTCTACCAACAACTCAAAATGATGTTTAAGCTTATCCAGAATGTCTGAGAATGTCCATTCTTCTGTTAAAGAGGCAGGACTAAAAGCATTAAAAAAAAAAAAAAAAGTGTCTATTACCTGGGACTATTCCTAAATTCCTAATCATAGCCTAGGTATTATTTTAGAGGTAAAGGACTTTACCCAAGCTCCAAATTCCTCCTATACCCATCCATATGCCCCAAATGCCTCAAATAATACATACAGCTATTGAGTCCCAAGACACAAAGACACTAAGGGACTCACATAAACTTATTTACACGACGGTGCAAATGACTAATACGCTTCATGTGGCTCTGAAACTGACTCCATCAGGAGTAATACAGCGTCTAAATAGTTGTACAAAGACAGAAACATCAGAAGGGGAGGAAGGGAGGTGGGGGAGGGGGGGAGGAAGAGGTTTAGGACATGGAAGACAACCTTGCCTTGCCTCCAAAAGGTTTTGTACTTGCTCCAACACAACAGCTGAGAACCTACAAGAGAGAGCACTGTATAGCTGGGCTCCTCCCCTACTTCAAATAGGCGGAGTACATCAGTTGTACATTCCACAGAACAGGATGGTTCAGATCAGTCAAAAGCCTCCCTGAAAGAGTCCATTGTCTTGGCCTGAAGCAGCACACTCAGCAACATCTCTCTAG